GGAACTGGCCAAGTAAAAGCCTTGAGCTCTCCCTATAACGGCTGAGCCGAGCTCGTGGCTTTCGGTTAGCTCATCATCTACAACGGTTATGGTTCCGAACATGAGATGCTGGAGGGCAGCACCGGGAGGGAGGTTTCCGGCGGTTACAAAAGGGAGATTGTTGGCGCTAAGGGCATCGTTGGAATTGCCGTTAGTGTTTTGGATTACGGTGGAGGTTTGAGCACCGCCAAGTCCGGTGAGAAGTGGAGCTGTGTTTGGGTTAATGACACTGTTGATGTTGTTTGAGTTAACCAGTGGGACTCCATTGTCAACCGGGAAAATGCTGTTGCTGGCCTTTGAGAATGGTATTCCGTTCACCTCGGTTTGAGCTACTATACCGGTAACCACACGAGCCGATGGGTGAGACCCGCCTAGCACGTCGTGCATAAAGAACTCTAGTAAAGGCTCTGTAGCCCCTGCTGGACCGGCTGGGACTGTAATTGCTGATGCAGTTGTGGTTGTGGTTGCGGGTCCTGTGTTGTCATCGGTTCCATCATCCTCCTCGGCTTCGGTTGGAGCCACAATGGGGATTTGGCCAGTAGGGACCAACTGAGGCTGAGGTTGGATCTCGTCAAGAAGTCTAGCGGAGTTGATAAATGCGAGGAGATTGGAGGATATGAGGAAAAGAAAGATGGTAATGTGAAGAGCTTTGGCCATTTTAGTATTACGTTTGGTTACTCAAGTTGTCTTTGGTTTGTGTTCGATGTTTTATTGATGGAAGGACTAATGGGTTTATATAAAGAGGCATTGGAGAATTTGGTTTAAGGTGATGAGAAAGGAGTGGAGTTGTTGTTGTTGTTGTTGATTTGCTTTAGTTGAGTTAGAAATTCAACTGATCCTATATTTTCTTATTTGGATTAGCTAATGATTTGCTACTTGTTAATTATTCTGTTTATATGGTAGAACTTAAGAACCAACTTTTGCTTCGACAAGTAAAAATAAAGATGGCCTTTGCTATATACTCTTCTTTGATAACAGAACCAATACTAGAAGAGTCGATGTCCTATTCGTTTCATTGAATGTCTCCTCAATTTGTTGACTTATGGATTGTCTCTTAACCACATTTTGCACGTTCAAACATAATGAACAATTTCTTTCAAATCTTTTCATTGTGAAATGAAACATAAATTATTATATAGATTTACGGTAAGTCAATGGGTGACAAACATTGTAAACTACTTAACATAAACAGAATTCAGGAAAAGAGAAAAACAAACAAACAAACACAATTTAACTATGCTTAATTTGTTTATTAGATTGATAACTACCCTTTTAAAGAGATGCCATCATTTTTACGTTTAAGCTCCGATTCAAACCCTCCATGTCCATCAGAAACTTTCTTGTCCAACCAACCAATGATGTCAGCAAAAACAATCTCGATATTCTCTGGTGTCTCTCCATAGAGTAAGCCATGCCACATCCCAGGGTACAACTTGAAAGTCTTGTCTGCACTCGACGCAACCTCATAAAGCTGTCGGCTCACTGCTTTATCGGTGACTTTATCGTCTTCTCCGTGCAAAACCATGAACGGTAATGAAACCTAAACCATTACATGAAAATGTTCACATAACCAACCTCTTAAAAAGATAATCTTCTTCTCTTCTTCTTAAATAATGAAATGTATCGATGAATACCTCATTCAGTCTCTTCTCGAGATCGGTGCTAACCCTCAAGAGCTCATAAGCAGTCTTCAAACGTGGACGTCCCTTGTAGCAGTAGGGATTTTCCCTAACCTATAATCATTTCACTTTATCACTACTTTTACGTTTTAAATTAGACATATATATGAATTAGTATGTCTTGCTAAAAAAGTGAAAATACCTGTTTCCTGATTTCTGGCTGCTTAAAAGCAGTCTCAATGATATCTTGGCCAGGGATGATTTTCCACGTAGGTATCACTCCGCTAAGTTTGGACAATATCGAAATTACCAAAGGGCTTGGTTTCATTTCTTCAGCAATCTGTGACATCAAAATAAAATTATTAATCACGCCACATGTTAATAAAGTTAATCTACACATCTTCAAAATTTTACATGTGATTCTCCCATACACATCTATAATTAGTTTTATTTTAATGATTATATATGCTTTGAGCATCATCCATACCATGATTACTTCACAAACTTAGCGGGATGGCTTTAATAATTAAACAAGATTAGTTATAAGATAAATTGATACTATGTCACCATAAAGTTTGAATTCCCTCAATAATTACCTAACCAGTTGCTCTACTAATGATTCAGCATCTTTCACATCATGATGACCCGTTTGAAAATTGACAACCAACATTTTAGCACATAATATGTTTGTTCCTTTCGAATTGGGTGGGCAAAAAGTTGCATCACACCAAAACAATACTGTTTTAATCATATTCAAACTTCCCTCTTATAAAATATGAACCAGGCTGGCTAATTACTTCTATATATGAATATATTTTTCTTAAAAACAAAGAAAAGTATAAAATTTAGATTCTTTCCCTAATAATCCCCATTATAAAATACAAGCCAGGCTGGCTAATGCATACTGGTTCTACTTTTTATATTTTTATAAAAAAATTATATGCATATGTAACTCTCACTTTTTTCCACTAAAAAGTTTGAACTTTATCTTTTTTAAACAAAACCAATTTGCGTATGAAAAAAGACATTACCTAAAAAATATTGCAATGACCCATACTATTAGGAGATGAAAAGATGCATGAGAGAATGAATATATACCTTACACATTGGTGCAACCAAGACAGCCCCATCCCAAAACTGAGGCTTCTTTCTGTGTAACAACAAAAGCACTGCGCCTCCCATTGATTCTCCTAACAAGAACCTCATCTTCCCTTTATTCTCTTCTTTCTCTAATTATTCCAACCACACAGAAAAATAAACAAACATCAGGCAAAACTTTTTGATAAAGTCAGACAAAAAGAAACTCAATTATGTATGGGTTGCTTCCATAAAAAAAAGCATCATGATGATAGATCATTTCCAAAACATAATTTTCTTAGTAGGATTTGTTGAATTATTCTTTAATTAGTCAAAATTTTGAGGATGTGGTAAATAAAAAAGCGGTTTTGACAGAGTCTTCAAAAGATAGACTAGGTTTCAAAAGTCAATATTACACTTTTACCCCAACAAAAAAGTCAACATTACCGCAAATGCTTGTGTAGTGAGTAGAGACATCATCAACGAGATGGTCAAAGTTTGGGACATAAGCACTAAGCCCATCAGATTTTCCATGTCCTTCGTAATCAATTCCATATACCGCAAATCCTGCTTTCACAAGCCTCCTTGCAGTACCTAATCCAATCATATATTAATTTCAAACATTGTTAACAAAGCTTTTGATGAATACAACATATACAAAGAAATCTTTAATTGGGCTGAACAATCTCAACTGTTCATGGTGATGCTACATTCCATTGCATAACCATGGCAAATGAAGACTAAAGCCTTTGGCTCTTGATTTGCTGGTACCCATTTACACGTGAACAGTTTCATTCCTCGAGTGTTCTTGATGAAACTCTGCATATACATAAATAAATAAATAACCACCAATCAAAAACCAGATTTCTCTATCTATATGAAAAAACAGAACACAAACGACAAACCTCTTCATACTTGATGTTCTCTGTTTCACTTGCCTGCATACCAAAAACCCAATTCATTACACAAGAAGAACAAATTTAAAACAATTTCAGATATTATATGAAAGAGATAGAAACCAGAGAGTATTAAATCTTAACGTCACTAACCATTCTTACGAAGAGATTTCGTCTGAATCTCTCTAGTTTTGTTGGATGGAGACACGAGTTTATGATAAGAGATATCGAGTGTTTGTTGTACGGCTCTGTTTATATTGGGTAGGATTTTGAGGAAGAGGACTATACGTTATAATGCGACACCGTTTTTTGTCTGAGAGCGACGATTTAACAGATTCTCTTCGCACCCCTACACGGCAACACGTTTTTTTTGTTACTTCTTAATAAAAGATAAAATATTCCTTGACAAGTGGCAATTCAAGTTTGGCGACGTTTAAAAGTACCCCCTCAACTTTATAAATAACGCAAATAGTACCTTAAGTCTTAAATTTATCAGAAAACACCCCCTCAAAGTCTTTCACTTTTGGGGGAGTAAATTTGGTGAAAGAATTTTGACAGTGTTTTCTTAGGTTTTTCATTTAGCAAATTAAACTCACATCTAATACGCTTGGAGATGTTAATGAGGTGAAAATCAATCTTTTTGAAGAGTAATGTCAAATCTTAAAATTTTATCTTAAAATAATGTTTGATTTATCTATTCTGTATTACAAATATAAAAACGAACGATCATAAGAACCATCAAATGAAGCGTCTAGAAAGTCAAATCTACAATTTCTACTACTTAATTTACATCTTATAAAATGTCAACTCTAACATTAGATGTAAAACTAAGTTATGTATACTCCGTTGACTAACTACCTGCAAAAAAATTTAAACAAATTAGATACACTTTCACTATTTTTTATTTTATTTTTTTTGTTAAATTGTGATTCCGCATCAACTTTCACAATTTTTAAGATTTTAATTTCATGATTGACCACTATTTTATTAACTCAATGCTTCAAAGATACGGCAAGAAATATTTTAATTTTTGGATCCCCGTATCCGCGTGTGGCAGTGGCAGTGGCAGTGGCATATCATTGCTCGTTTGCAAAAATTCGGCAGCCTTTGACGAATGAGTCGGTTGGCTTGTTTAATATTTTTTTTTTTCAAGTATGTAAAAATTGGTGATCAAGATTCAAGCGACGACTGTAAGATAAAATTAAAAATTACAAAATTTGTGGTCGGTTTTTCGATTCAAAGACTCTTAAACCATTCAACATGCCGAATTTTCAGCAGAATATGTCAGCACATATTAATTTTTATTCTTAAATTCAAAGTCATGACGTTCTTTTCTTAAAGATCCCACTAATCTGTTACAAAAGAAAACAAATGTGTAGTGTAAGCATTTATTTTCTAATAGATCAAATTGTCACTGTGTGCAACTAGTAAGATCAATCCAAGAAGAAGATGATTTCAGCAATATGGCTAAGTTGTTTATTAGATATTTTGAGTTCTTGGACAAGAAAAAGTTGTGCGTAATGGGCTTTTTAAAAGCCCAGTAATATTTTGGAGATATATATATTTTTTACTCAAAAAGCTATGTCATTGCAAACTATACACAAGTAGGTTTATCATATGTGGTTGATAACGTAATGGCAGACGACGGTGGAAACGGAGACGGCGCCACCGCCGGTGACTGCTACGCTCATCATCATCGCCGAGATATCAAACTAGCAGGAGATTCAAGTGAAAATTTAGACTCAATCAGCTCTCTGCCTGATGTGATCCTCCAACAAATCCTCTCCTATCTTCCGACCAAATTATCCATCAGAACTTCAGTCTTGTCCACAAGATGGAGGCATGTATGGTACGATACACCTTCCCTCTACTTTGATGGACCAGGAACTTTTTATAGGGGACTGAAGGCTGATACGTTAAACAAAACCCTAGCTCGATACAAGCTTCCCAAGATTATGAGTTTTCACCTCTATACCAATATGTTGGACAATGTTCCTTACATTGACGGTTGGATCGAGTTCGCAATATCCAGAAACGTTGAGAATCTGTCGCTGGATCTCGGTGAGAGTAATGGACGTGGTTTCCATAGTATTCCTGAATTCATCTACACCAGTTCTTCTGTTAAGCAACTCAGCCTACGCCATTGTCATCTGATTCCAAGATGCGCAGTGTCTTGGACATCCCTGAAAAACCTTTCATTGCATACTTGCTCACTCTCTGATGAATTATTTGCTAAGACTCTATGTGGTTTTCCGTTTCTCGAAAGCTTAAAGTTGTTTTATGTTATTAATCTGATGGTTATTGATCTAAGTAAATCGTTGCGTCTAAAAACATTAGAAATATATAGCTACTTCGAGCCGGGGCCAATGCACATTGTGGCACCACATATCCATTCCTTAAAATTGACAAAATCTAAGTTTTCATCTACTTTAGTTGATGTCTCGTCTTTAACCGAAGCTACAGTAGAAGCTATACCAGACGTTGACTTTTGCATGCGTAATCAGCCGACAAATCTTCAAGTCATGACGCTGAAGATGCTAGAGAAGTTGCAGAATGTAGAGAAGCTTACTTTTGGGGCAAACTTTCTTAAGGTATATATCTTTTGGTGTATTCAAGTGTCATATGGATATATTCTTGTATTCTCCAATGCCTAGATGTTGCAGAATTACTTACTTTACTCATGTAGAATCATTTAATTTCAGAGTATTGATTAGTTTTCATTAGCCTTTGATTTTCAATAAGTCTTGTGTTATTTGCACTCTCTAAGAAATTGCTAAAAACTAATATATTTGTCTTGCTCAAGAGTTCTGTGTTTCGGTATTCACTTTTGGGCAGTGCTTTTTGTAGCTTTTATCTATTGCCAAGGTCCATGGTGTTTCTTTTCCAATGTTCAAGGCTAAAGCTTTGACGGTTGAGACAACAATGTATGAGCATTGTGTAACTCCTGGGGTAGTAAGTGTGCTACAAAACGCACCTGAACTAAAGTGGCTAACCCTAGTACACATAATGGATAGCGGCAGCGGCTTCATACAAGTATATTAACCTCAAACCCTCTTTTCTTATTCTTTACGACCATTCAAACTATATATTACCGAGTTTGAATAATCCTAAAATATCATTTCCTTTCGCTTTGAGTTTTTAGAATCTGATATATTGTTTTAATTTGTGTTAATGAAAATGTTTCTGTTGTACACAGAAGGATGATCTTCTCTACAATTTGGATCCACGGGATCAACATTGCAGGTGCTGGGTATTTGAGAGGACTTTCTCGCTAAAGACAAAGCATGTTGCTTCGTTCTTGAAAATTATCCTGAAAAACACGAAGACGTTAGAGAAGATGGTCGTAAGATTGAAAGATTATCTTGAAGAAAAGTGTTTTGAAGAGTTGCTTCAGATAGTTCCATCGCTCTCCCTCGACAATAATATCTCCATTGTGCTCAGCTAAACCAAGCCGAATCAGAGAGTTTGGTCTGGAGTCTTACTGGCTATATATGTTACATCAAATCTCATTTTAAAAGCGTACTAAGATGATGAAAACTTTACTTTATTTTGTTGGATTATTTAGGAAATAATAATGATATATGTTGATTTTGTTCTCTATATGTGAATCTATATACAGTATACACAAAACCATTGACAAATTTTAATTTGCATAAATATATTCATACAAAAAAAAAAATGATTAAAAACAAAGTATTTGTATTTAATGGGCTTTTATAATAATACCCAATAATATATATATATATATATATATATATATATATATTATATCTTGTCGAAAAAGCTATATTTCAATGAATACACACATAATCTTGTAGGTAGATAACCTTGATATGTGTATATATTGGATAATGTCTAAATTTAACTTTATCTAATATATAGTTGGATAGAGTATATTAGCATCTATTTTATATGAATGCACACATAATCTTATGTAAGAATTTTTAAAAAATATATATCTTGCTCAATCTTATTCTTAATACTGATGAAGCGTAAACATGAAATAATTTTTCTTTAATATATAGTATAATTTACAATAGCAGCATTAAAAATCAAAATGCAAAACACCAGAATTTCATCAAAACACTTGTGTAAAAAAATGTAGCAAGTCAAACGACTATTCCTTGAAATTAAAACCATCATTATTCTGTTTAAGCTCCGACTCAAACCTATCATTTCCATAATCACTTCTTTTTTCCAACCATCCGATGACGTCGGCAAAGACAATTTCAATGTTCTCTGGTGTCTCGCCGTTGAGCAAACCGTGCCACATCCCAGGGTACAACTTTAAGGTCTTGTCAGCGCTCAACGCAACCTTGTACAGTTCTTGGCTCACTGCTTTATCTGTTACTTTATCATCACCTCCGTGTAATACCATAAACGGCAATGAAACCTATATAATCATTATATATATGCATTAGTTGTAAATTATAACCATAATTTATACTATATTACAAATTTTCGGATGATTTTTAGACACAGAAAACCTAATCACGAATATATTACTCTTTGAGTCCAATCTGAATATCAATGCATTAAGGGAATCTTGAATATATGTAATCATTTATATATATACCTCTTTAAGTGACTTCTCCAAGTCGTTGCTGATCCTTAAGAGCTCATACGCAGTTTTCAAGCGTGGTCGTCCTTTGGAGCATAACGGATTTTCTCTAACCTTAATTAGTCATATATACCATAATGTACAAAAGTTAAATCAAGCGTTGATCAGTTTACACAGATTTTTTATAAACTAATCATTTTGATTACTAATGTTATATAGAAACATACCTGTTTTCTTATTTCTGGCTCTTTATATGAAATCTCGATGATATCTTGACTAGGAATGATTTTCCATTTGGGTATAATGGAGATAAGCTTTGTTAATATCGAAATAACAAAAGGACTTGGCTTCATTTCTTCTGCGATCTGTGACAAATGAATATATATTCCACATTCATACGATTTCTTTACTGACAAAACAAATGTTTCATTTATATGCATTTAATTTACATCAATCTATGAAATTACCTATTGTATAAGAAAATACGCATTTTTATTAGTTGCATATATAGCTGACTACATGCCTGGATACTATAAACATGGATATCAATGATAGATAAACTATCATTTCAAAATCTAGTAATTTGGATTGATATATGATTGATTATTTAACATACTTTAATGGAAACGGTATATAATGATTAGAAACAAAGTTGACTGAGTCTCAAATCAACTAATACATGATCTCTCATTATTCTAATCCAGCCACAACGAATTCCAAACACTTGATTTTAAAAAACAATATATGTTTCTTCTTTGTGCATGAATAAGGCCTTATGCTGTAATTATGATCTATAAATTGGATTTGCAATGATCATATATCCATGTGACAATTGAGAGACTTTTCCGTTTGATTGTTTCTTGTAGAAGAGTGGGTAAACTACATCTTTTACTCACATAAGAGTTTGCCTCCGAACAAAGTTTGCCATTAGTTTTTTTTAAGGAACCACACGATATATTTATTTCTGCACGCACGACTTATTTTACTCATAGTATAGAAAATGTTTATAGATGTTCGGTTAAACATAGTTTAATTTCAATTACATATAAGAAATTAAAGTGCCTAACAATAATATTAGGCAACTAAAAACTCTTATAAAGATGAGAAATAGTGAAATACCTTACACATTGGAGCGACCAAGATAGCTCCATCCCAAAAGTCAGGGTTCTTCCTGCGTAGCAACAAAACCACTGCTCCTCCCATTGACTCTCCTAACAGAAACCTCATCTTCCATTTGTTCTCTTCTCTCTCTATTTATATTTTGCATTCCAAAGAAAATTAATATATCAAATTAATTCTTAAGTTTATTTGATAATTAATTAATGTAAAAATAGAAAAAACACTCAGGATACTCATTTATCAATTGCTTCCATCATCGCACGTTCGACCAAGAAAATTCATATTGATTCACCAATGAGTTAGTTTTTTCATTTCAAGTTTTTTTTTCCACACAAAAATATCAGGCAATAAGTTAACTTTTATAACCACAAAGTCAACGTTACCGCAAATAGTTGTGTAGTGAGTGGAGACATCATCAACGAGGTGGTCAAAGTTTGGGATATAAGCGCTAAGCCCATCAGATTTGCCATGTCCCTCATAATCCATTCCATATACTGCAAATCCTGCCTTCACGATCCTCCTTGCAGTACCTAATCCAAGATCATATTCATCTCAAACGTTAATAAATTTTCTATTTTTGTGGTACTAAGAACATTTGGATCTTAGACCAGATTAGGGTATATTAGTTATCTCCACGTCGCGATAAAAGCTTCAATCTTAGATGCAAAAAATGTATTAAAATAAAATTGAAAGATATAGAATTTGTGAAGTGGGTTGATCTCAACTATTCATGGTGATGCTGCATTCCATGCCATATCCATGGCAAAGGAAAACTAAAGCCCTTGGCTCTTGGTTTGCTGGTATCCATCTGCACGTGAACAACTTAAATCCTCGAGTGTTCTTTATGAAACTCTGCACATAAATATATAATCATCAATTAATCACCAGCTTTTTCTATCTATGCGTTGATCTTAATGCATACATCTATATATACACCTCTTCGTACTTGATGTCCTCTGTTTCACTCGCCTGCACACCAAAAACAATTCATTACAAGAAACAAGAAAGAACAAATACACTTTTAGGTTTAAACCAATATCTAACAAAAGGAGATTGTTAATCAACTAACCATTACGTCAAAAGAGATTAGTTTGAATCACTTTTTTTTCTCTCTTGCTTTCTTGGAGACAAGAGTCGAGAAAGTAAATGGAAGAATTGTAGGTTCTGCTTGTTCGTCTGACCCTGACAACTTAATATACATGACTTCCCCCTTCTTGTTTTTTCCTTTCACCCCTTCAACTTTCAAAATAATACAAAATATACCCCCATCTTACGAAAAATCTTAAATTAATTCCTAACTCTCAAAAACTATCGTAGTCAGTGAAATAGTTTTGACTTTTGAGTTATAATTAGAAAAGTAGTTAAGTTCATATGGATAATGATCATTTCTATTCGACGAAAAGTCGTTAATGTACTTTTTACCCATATTCCATAAGTGCACATGGGCAAATTACATGAATCCATAAAGAAATGACAATATAGTAAAACTGGCATGATTTCGTAGCATATTCATGCATTAAGCTATAACTTTATTTTAGCCGAGTTTGATAACTTTCCGCCGAAATTGTTAAATGGTTAGTGGTTCTTTTAAATTTCGAAATTACAACTTAGAATGGTCATGATGTTGAAATCAATGTTTCTGACTTTAGTCAATTTATCACAAACTTATATCTATCTAAAAAAGTATGTGGGGTCATTGTTATTTTTTCTAAATTTGTATATGGTTTCAGAACTACGGCGTCACATTTATTGATTTTTTGGCCCAAAAGTAATTGAATTCGGTTAATTATGCATAGACCTAAAGTATCACTTTGAATCTGTGCTATCTACAAATTTGTGTGGTTTTAGAGGTTTGTTAACGAGTTGTTATGCTATAGATTTAGAGATTTTTCCGTAAATATAATAAACTTCACTACTTATTTCACAAGTAACTTCGTAGGTAAAGTATGTAACATACACAAGTACACAAACGGCTGCCCAAAAAAAAGAGACTGTATCGTTCACTTATTTATGCTTCAAGAATCCATCATGCTTGTGTTTTAGCTGACTCTCTAACCCTCTGTTCGAATCGGTGGCTCTATCCTCCAGCCAGTTTATGATATCACCAAACACAGTTTCTGAATTTTCAGAAGTTTCTCCATATAACAACGCATGCCACATTTTGGGGTACAACTTGAATGTCTTGTCCGAGCTTGAAGCCACTTCGTATAACATTTTGCTTACGCTTTTGTCCGTCACTTTATCATCTTCTCCGTGAAGAACAATGAAAGGAATAGATACCTAGTTTAAAAGCCATATAGCTAACTAATTAATCATCAAATTTTATAAATGTTTCTTCTTCATTATAACCAAATATACATTATCCAGAACTATATCTAAAAACTTAGAACCTGGTGAAGATTCTTCTCGAGATCTAAGCTAACCAACAAGAGTTGGTAGGCGGTGTTGAGGCGAGGCCGGCCTTTATAGCAATACTTGTTCTCCCTCACCTGTAAAATTCACATGAATCATATATATGGCTAATAACAAGGTTACAAGATTGATATTACAAGTAAAATGTGGCGTCTTAGATCATAATCAATCACCTGATTTCTGATGTGAGGTTCTTTAATTGCAATGTCAATAATATCGTTTCCTGGAACTATTTTCCACGTCGGAATAAACTTGGCAAGTTTAATAAGAATTGAGATCACTACTGGATGTGGCTTTATCTCGTCTGCTAACTGTGCATAACAACATTCATTGTATTAGTTGAAAAGCAAAACATTTTTATTATCTCTGTGGGACTTTCGGTAGATAATTGATGTAATCATTTTGATTATATTAAGTTTTGATTACTTGTTGTTTAATTAGTGGTACACTGGTAATAATGGTATTTTGTTGTAACAGGTAATGGTTTTAAAATAGAAACTATGAGACAAGGGACTAATGAAGAATGATTGAACCATTTTTCTGTATTATCTAAGGGCATTTATTACTAATCCAATAAGTATAGAAGATTATTGAAAAATTATGGCTTATTCCCGATTGAAAAAATTGAAAAATTATGGCTTATTCCCAATTTAAGAATATATATTTTCGTTTTTGATTGAGACTTTTTATCTGATTCTTAAAACATCTTTGAAAATATATGAAGACTATAAATAATTTTGGGGTCCATACCCTCTAATATACCAATTAATGATGCAATAATACTAAGGATAACTAAATAACAATAACTGGAAAAAGAGATTACTAACCTTACACATGGGTGCGACCAAAACGGCACCGTCCCAAAAATGAGGATTCTTTCTGGCTAAGAGCAACACAACTGCCCCTCCCATGGATTCTCCGAGTAGGAACCTCATCTTCCCCTTGTTCTCTTCCTTCTCTACAAATTAGTTTCACCATTTCTTTTAGTATAATATTAATGAAAATCTAAACACATATCAAATTAAGGGTTTTCCAGAAGAATTACCACAAATTGTAGAATAATGATTAGAGACATCACCAACGAGATCATCAAAGTTACTGATGTAACCATTCAGACCCTCGGATTTTCCATGTCCTTCATAGTCCATTCCATAGACCGCAAAACCGGCCTTGGCTAGCCTTGTGGCTGTGCCTGATTAATCCCATAATTCGTTATATCGTTAGTAAATATAATAATAATTTGATCCACGTTAGTACATATTTTAACATCTGACTGAACTGTTCATGGTGATGCTGGACTCCATAGCGTAGCCATGGCAGAGGAAGACCAATGCCTTTGATTCTTGCTTCACTGGTTTCCATAGACAAGTGAACAACTTCATGCCTCGTGAGTTCAACACAAAATCCTGCCAAAAGAAAAACACACACACACTTGCATTAGACTTAAGAGAATGATTCTGCTAGATCGAGACTATAGGATCAAACTCGTAACTCGTAATCAAAAAAAAGAAAGGAACAACTATCACTTTTCTACAGTTACAGAGCTCTACATCATGAGCTTGGAAGCATATATAAAGACACTAACCTCTTCATACATAACCATGATCCTCTGTTTTTTTGTTCTGTTTTTATACAAAGTTAAGATATTTTCTTGTTTTCAAAGGGATTTATGAGGAGAGCGAGAGAGAGATAGCGAGAGGGAAAGAGTTAGTTGTTGTCTGATTTATAGAAGATGAAAATAGAAGAGTCAAGAGGAATAAAGCGACCCCAAAAAAACAGGGGACCATGCATTTACGTTGCGTTTTGGTTGGTTTTAACTTTTAAAAGACCCGGATTTTGTTCAAAATAAAATAAAATAAATAAAAATAAAATAAAAGTCTCGGATATTTTCGTTGTAGTAGATGACGTCCCCAGAAACATTGAACGAGTCCAAGATTTTACTTTTCATATATTTGAATATGAATGATTCAGCCGTTGGTGCCTGACCGGCTTGGTTTTTCATTTTGACCAAATGGTAAATTCTCCGATATGAAATGCTCATGAGTTAGTCTTTGAATATTGAATTTGGGGATGGATAAACATGCATTTATGTCTTTGTGTCAACTTGTTGACAAAAGTATGTATCGTCTTATTTATTAGAGGTAATTGTCATCACGCGACTCATAATTACACTTTTCCATCACATTATTGATTACGATAACGTATTTAATCAAAACTTCTTTTAAGATTATTCTTTCATTCATAATCTAATTAGACATGTCAAAAAAGAAAACGAAGAGAATTTTTTTTAATCTAATTAGATTTCAAGCCAACCGTGTATTGAAATTGAACAACCCGAATACATGCAAATCATGTATGTAAGTTTTACCTTTCTTTTTTTTTTGTCGGCCAAATATTCCTTTATATAAGGAAAGTTTACATAGATTACGACATATATTCAACAGACCCAAGAGACTGTATAAGGAGAGAGCTTTTGACGAGCCTGTTTAGCAAGATTATCAGCCATTACATTGACTTCTCTACCCACAAATCTAAAGTTATAACAACCCTTAGCCAAAGCAAGTATATCTTCCAAGTAGTTTTGTATCTCATGATTGCCTGGTTCAGGATGATGATGCTGCACAGCCTGCTCAAAGTAGCGGTATAAAGTAAGAGAGTCGTCACAGAAAGTGACTTGCTGGTAGTTGAGCTTTTTTAACTGGAGAAGTGCTTCTCGTAATGCCACAGCCTCCGTTTCCAGAGCTGAACTGTATGTAAGTTTTACCTTTCTATGTATAGTTTATAGTTATTTCCTTTAAATGTTCTATAGTTTAGTTAGTATTTTTCATATATAAAGTATTTTGATAGAAGGTTTTATTAGTCGGGTTTTCTGAGCCTCGGCCCATAAGATATAAAACTCAGCCCAAATATAACCTAAAATCTGAATTTAAGTCTTAGCCGTCATCTTCTTCATTTTTCTCTAGGGTTTCTAATCTCTTATAACATCGCCCAAAAGAGTTAAGGGAAGCTTGAGAGAGAACTCGAAGACGCAATGGGTAGGCCTAATTTCTCAAACTTTTTCCTCTGTAACATAGAATTTCGTACGTTTTGGTTATGAGATTTGATTTTGTGATGTGAAATGGAATCTGAACAGCGAGAATCAAGGTTCATGAGCTGAGGGAGAAATCAAAAGCTGATCTTTCGAGTCAGTTGAAGGAATTTAAGGCAGAGCTTGCTCTTCTTCGTGTCGCTAAGGTCACTGGAGGTGCTCCCAACAAGCTCTCTAAGATGTATGTGTTTCCACTATATACGCTTTGTGTTAGATCAAATGTTGCATTTTTCTGATTTTGGTGACTTTTTATATGTTTTGATTCTGAATTATATAGCCTTGTTTATGATTTTGCTGGTGTTAGTGATTAGTTAAGCATATGTGCTAATCAGATTTAGCTAGTGTTAATCAGGTTTATGAGTATCATTGCCTTTTTGATAAGTTTAGACATGTAACACTTGTTTCAGCTTATGTTATGCAAATTGTTTAGTTTTGTTTTCAATTTTTCCTCATTGTCCTCTATAGATATATAAACCTCCTAGGTGTAAATTACTTGGCTTAGTTTTTTCACTGTTTGATTGTTCGATCACTGGTTTTTAATCACAATGATCTCAAATGGGTTATGTTTTGTGTTTAATCAGCAAGGTGGTGAGGAAGTCGATTGCTCAGGTGTTGACAGTGATCTCACAGAAACAAAAGTCTGCTTTGAGAGAGGCATACAAGAACAAGAAGCTTTTACCTCTCGATCTTCGTCCCAAGAAGACTAGAGCTATCAGGAGGAGACTCACCAAGCATCAGGTATTGTATTGTGTTTAGGTGATTCAGAGTGATATTGAGAAATGAATGAATGTTGTGTGTTTATTGTACTGAGTGAAACATTGCTGGCTGATTTAAACAGGCATCATTGAAGACAGAGAGGGAGAAGAAGAAAGAAATGTACTTTCCGATAAGAAAGTATGCTATTAAGGTGTAAGCTTTTACCTTAATCACATCAATTTTTGTGTTTTGAATTTGAGCTCTTGTGTGAGTTTTTGCTTGTTTTCGTTCCTTGTTAAAGATATTGAAATCTCATCTTAATGAAAGATTGAATCAGAAAATAAGTATTGTTATATGATTGGATCATATCATCTTTTATATTACTCTGTTGAGGATTAGCTCGTTAGGGTTTCAATCTCTGTTAATAACTCTTCAATCGGTCTTCTCTTGAGCAGTTAATAATGTCTATCAACTAAACCTAAGGGTTTGTCTTTGGTTCTCTTTTTACACCTCAATTTAGAAAGAAATAAAGCAGTTTCCATATCCAAATTTATCATATTGGTGCGTGAACTCTGATTCAATGGACAGAACAAAGCATGATGAATTAGTGAATTTTTCATCGTGCAGTGACATACTCTGTCTAGCATAAAACTCAACAAGGGGAAAACTTTACCCAATAATGTGATTTTCTTATAGGAAACTGTAAATTATGGTTATATGTTTTGACCTGAGAAAAATCACATCAAAAGAAATAAAAGTGATGTGGTGATTTGCAAGATAAGTAGACAGATGAAACCTACACACCACTAGAGAATCAATCATTTTGACCAAAAAGGAGGAGAATTCATACACCAAAAGATGTCTCTCTTATGTGAATCCTTTGTTGGTCACTAAAATTTGTTAGACCAAGATGAAGAGGTGAGGGCTGGTGTATATGCGCAATATATGAGAGACTATCGTGGTTTTGTTAAGTTATTGTGTTTGAATATAGTCAAAAAATCAGTTGTTTATAATTTATTTGGGATAAAAAGGCAAATTTGAGACATTTGACTTTGTAATTACTTGTCTTATAGGCAAGAGTTGACTTTGGCAGAAACTCTTGTGCCAAATTATTTTCACACTTTCTCTATTCATTTGATGAGTGTTCGTTCTTTTGGTTCCGCAACTTTTGAAAACAAATGAAGAAATTCAATTCATAGGATGAACATTCTTCAAATTCGTGTCATAAATGAAGCATATGAGCCGAAATCTAAGTGACCAAACCTTTGCATTTTTCAAACATAACAATCTTTTCTTTTCTTTACACGGTTATGACTTACGAATTGTGGTCGTTGCTATACGTAGAATAGCTTATTGGTGGTCTTGATTTGCAAAGTCAGCATTGATGCAGAACTTGCTTACATCTTTACACAATTGACTTTGGTAAGCAATCCTTTTCTTTCAATCAAACTCGTGGCTGCAAAATATTTGTATTGTATAGTTATGCATGCATGTGTATATATCATTTTTCAAATCTTATCACCATGTCACATATATATAACAATAAGTGTAAAATACATAATATCTGAGGTAGTGCGTAATTGCGTATCTTTGATCTTGTTGGTCAAACAATATAGTTTTATATAGTGAAGGTATATATTACCTAAAAAAGATAAATATATATAGCTCTGGTTTCAATATTCTTAAGTTTAAAAAAAAAAAAAACATTTGAATTGTTCAACTCCTACATTTTAATAATACACTTAACTGTCGATCATCTACATCATCCTTAAGATAATCATAAATCACCGGAATTTCGAAATTCTTGCTAAATCAATAGACTCAAAGCCACTATAATATATTCTTCTATCTAGTGACTTGATGAGAAGTTTTTAAGTATTAAGAATCGAATGATTAAGACACAAAAGAAAACTAATGTATTGGGTCAAGTCAACTATTACACCAGTATGAAACTACATGAAACATTACTTATATTGAATATTTAAAACTTGCACGAATAGAGAAAGTCAGTCAAAAATTTGTATTGGCCATTGGTTTCATACATTGAGAAACTCTCTCTCTCTATATAATGTTAAGTGTACCTTACATAGACAATCAAGAGACTCTATTAAACATATTCTCTTCTACATAACATAATCAGGAAGAAGAGTAGTAGTAGTAGTAGTAAAACCTCATCAATGGCGAAAAAAACAAAGTCTGTTCATTTCTCTACCTCTTCTCCTAAATCACTCCTTTCTTCTTTTTCTTCATTAACTTCCCTCCCGGCTTCTCCTCTTAATCAGACTTTTTCTCAGTCGATGATGGAGGAAACCGTTGAGGCCGCGGAATCGATCATCAAGAAATGGGATCTGAACTCACCGTCCTACACAAGGATCATCTCTCTGTTTAGTCATAGCAGAAAAGAGGCCAAAGAATTCATCAGATGCATCCGTGACTTACGCAGAGCCATGCACTTTCTTATCTCTCAGCACTCTCAATCTGCCAAGCTAGTTCTTGCACAGCATCTGATGCAGATCGGTATGGCCAGGCTCGAGAAAGAGTTCTTCCAGATTCTGTCTTCAAACCGAGACCAACTTGATCCTGAATCTGTCTCTGGTCACTCCTCAATTTCAAGCAATTCAGAATTTGAAGATGTTATGCAATCTGATGATGATGAAGAAGATGAGCTGAAGAAGGCTGGTGAAACGATCACCAAGGTCGAAAAAGCTGCAGCACTTGTGATGTCAGACCTCAAGGTCATAGCAGAGACTATGATCAGCTGTGGATATGGTAAAGAGTGCATAAAGAGCTATAAGTTGATCAGAAAGTCAATTGTAGATGAAGGGCTACACTTACTTGGGATCGAAAAGTGCAAGATCTCCCGGTTCAACAGAATGGACTGGGGCGTGCTCGAGCATATGATCAAGAACTGGATCAAAGCTGCAAAGATTGGAGTCATAACACTCCTCCGCGGAGAAAAACTTCTCTGTGATCATGTCTTCTCTGCTTCAAGTACCATAAGAGAGTCTTGCTTTTACGAGATAGTGAACGAAGCAGGAATCAATCTTTTCAGGTTCCCAGAACTCGTTGCCAATAAGGAGAAAAAATCATCGCCCGAGAGGATCTTCAGGCTGATGGATCTCTATGCAGCAATCTCTGACCTTAGGCCAGACATAGAGCTGATATTCCACTTTGATTCAGTAGCTGCTGTAAAAACTATAGTCATCTCATCGCTGAAGAAACTCAAGCAGGCAATCCACACAAGTCTCACGGAATATGAGTCGACAATACAAAAGGATTCTTCGAAAGCACTAACTGCAGGAGGAGGGATTCACAAGCTGACTCGATCAACCATGAGTTTCATATCATCTCTTTCTGAATACAGCCGTGTCTTATCCGAGATCCTTGCAGAACATCCTCTTAAGAAAAACGCCCGTATGCTAGAATCTTATTTCACAGCTCCAATCTTAGAAGATGAACACAACAACCACGCAGTCTCGGTCCATCTAGCTTGGCTCATCTTGGTTTTCCTATGCAAACTAGACATCAAAGCAGAGAGCTACAAGGATGTTTCTCTCTCTTACCTCTTCCTAGTGAACAACATTCAGTTTGTGGTTGATACCGTTCGTTCAACTCACCTCAGGAACCTCCTGGGAGACGACTGGCTCACAAAGCACGAAACAAAACTCAGAAGCTACGCTGCAAACTACGAGATCGCAGCGTGGGCCAATGTATACATATCTTTACCAGAGAAAACAAGTAGCACACTATCACCAGAGGAAGCCAAAGCACATTTCAAGAGATTTCACGCGGCATTCGAAGAAGCTTATATGAAACAATCATCATGTGTCATAACAGATGCAAAGCTTAGGAACGAGCTTAAGGTTTCCATAGCAAAGAAAATTGTACCGGAATACAGAGAGTTTTATGGCAAGTACTTGCCAACGCTGAGCAAGGAGAGAAACATAGAAATGCTGGTGAGGTTTAAGCCTGATAACTTGGAGAACTATCTCTCAGATCTGTTTCATGGAACACCAATACTTAGTGGTTCTTCTTCTTCTTCTTCTTCTTCTTCTTCATCTTGTATCTCACTTGGATGTGTAAGAAACTAAAGTTCAGAGTTAGAGCATTTGCTTAGTATCTTCATCACTTAAACTAAATGGATGTGATTATGTGAAATATTAAATATGTAAGCAGTGCCGGTCCGAGCATTTGTGAGGCCCTACACGAAAAATAAAATAATGCCCAATATATTTATAAGTTTTAGGGCTAAATTTTTTTTTTGACCTATTTTTAGTAAATTATACAAAAATAATGATATTTTGAATATTATTACATTCAAATTTAATTGTTTGGGCCCTATTTTATTTATTTTTTTCGAAAAAACTTTAATTTTTACTAAATATTTTCATTTTATGGGCCTTTTTACCAAAAAAAAAAAAAAAACCTTAAAAAAAAAAAAAATTTGTGGTGCCCCAAACCACCGCTTGGATGGCCTGTCCTGCGGGCCGGCCCTGTATGTAAGCCCACTTATTTATGTTGCACATTTTTCCATTAAGCTAGTGATCAACTGACTCAAACAATTAGTTTAAAAAAAAAAAACTAAAAAAAGGAGTATGATATTATTAGAATGAACTATATAATCTCCAATAAAAAAAAATACTCAAGAAAGTAAAATCTAAAAATTGGATAAAACCTGCAATATCTATTACAAAAATTGAACCTTTAACTATCTAAATAAACAAAAAAAAGAAACTAAAATCTATAAATCTACATAAACAATATTTAGCTTGAAATATAAAAAGTCACAATCAAAGCTGAAATCATCTACTGATTTCGTTTAATTTCTCTGCTAAGTTTTTATATTTCGATCCACAACAGATATGCAAAAACACAAATAGAATTAAGTGATCGAGTACCTGAAACGTAAGTGATCGGCATGGATTATTCCATCCCCATCTTCGTTTTTTTGTGACTCTCTCGCGTTCTAAGAGATCAAAAAGAAAGGAAGCGAGAAAACAATTGGGACAATTTCTTCTACTCAAACCGGTAGCTTTCAAAATGTCGTGTAAACCGGTTAGACCGGTATTTGGTTTATTTTAAATTAGGTTATTACAACAGATCAAAGGCAATGGGCTAAAACTCATTTGTAGATTCCGATAATAAACTGAAAGTCATCAACAGTTTTTCAATAACAAGATAAACATTGGCACAAAAGAAATTTTGTCTTTTTTTTCCTAAATTGTTGTCTAAAAAGAACCTTTCAAAATAACTTTTTTTTTTTTTTTTTTTTTCAAATAATAAGTAAACTAATAAAAAACAATGGAAAACAAATGTCTCATTAGTTTATCGTGGAGGAGTACTTAAAAGGTGGAGAAAATTAAACCCGGGAATCTGGTAAAATGTTTGGAGTTTGGAACATCGTAAAGTACAATGGGATGTGACTCCTGCCAGAAACCAAAAAGATTTCCAAAACGCAATAAACAATTTACATGATGAAGTTAAAAGAAGAAGAAGCAAACATCGTTTTATTTACCGTGTAAATTTATAAATTTCTTTGTATTACAATATATTGTTGATCACGACACAATCATATTGTTGATCTTCATTGTTTTTTTTTTTGTTAAAGGTATTGTTAATCATATTTGGTTATTTATTGTTTATGCGTTTCTTTATTGCTCGAGTAACCAATAAGACAGAAAATTATCTTGCACGTGGGCATCTACCAAGATTAATGTCTCTCATCATCGTCCTTGTCCAGATTAAAACAAATCCAAAATACATATCTTTATAAACATAATAAGTACAATAATTATCAGATAGATTACTAAACCAATACTTTCTGTATTGGATACTTTTGTTTTATTCTACACTTTGTCTCGCTATATTGCCCTTCTTTCATAAATTTATGTTCTAATCACCACTGATGACGCTGATAAACCCATTATCTTTCTAGAGCCAATCAAATAGTTGTACAAAAATAATGACATAAAAATAACTTGTTTTCTTGGCCCATCTTGTATTTGAGTACACGAAATTAGTAGGATATTTATTTATTCTTGGCAAAACCCGGGATACCTTTGCTAAACTTTTAAGAAAATCTTGAGTACAAGTTTTAAGTGGTGGTCCATCCAAGAAACTCATTTGAACTATTAATATACCCTGTTCATATAATTTGTAATTTATTTACGTATATGTAAGTAAAAATTTTAAAATTAAAGAAAACAATACGGTCCAAAGTTGTACCCTCTTTACAAATCAGAAACCTAACACTAACTCTCTCTGTCTCTCCCTCTTACATATATAAAAACAAACCTCTCCAACTCTGAACTCAACTCATACCTCTAATCACTAAAACATACCACAAAAAAGAAACATAAACAAATGGCGGCTTATCTAGAGCGATGCGACAGTGTAGAAGAAGATTACATTGACATGGAAGTAACTTCTTTCACAAACCTCGTACGCAAAACTCTGAACAACAACTACCCTCGAGAGTTCGAGTTCCAAATGTCTCATCTTTGTCCTCTTGAGATAGACAAAACCACTTCTCCCGCAGACGAACTCTTCTACAAAGGCAAGCTTCTCCCTCTTCACTTACCTCCTCGTCTCCAAATGGTCCAAAAGATTCTAGAAGATTACACCTTCGACGACGAATTCTACAGCACTCCTTTAGCCACTGGAACGGTTACAACTCCGGTGACGAGCAACACTCCGTTCGAGTCCTGCACCGTCTCTCCGGCAGATTCTTGCCAAGTGAGTAAAGAGCTTAACCCTGAAGACTATTTCCTTGAATATCCTGACTCATTGGGGGAGGAGGATGAGAAGAAGAAACCTTGGACCACGAAACTGAGATTGATGAAGCAATCAAGTCTTGGAACGAAGATTAAAGCTTCGAGAGCGTATCTTAGATCTTTCTTTGGTAAAACAAGTTGTTCTGATGAGTCATCATGCGCGTCTTCCGCTGCAAGAGTTGCAGACGAAGATTCGGTTTTGAGGTATTCGCGAGTGAAGCCTTTTGGACAAATCAAAACAGAGAGACCTAAAAAACAGAGTAATAGTTCTGTTTCCGGGAGCCATAGGAGATCGTTTTCAGTTTCTATGAGGAGACAAGCTGCAAAGAGTTCGAACAACAAATCATCGAGTAGTTTAGGGTTTCGTCCGCTGCAGTTTTTGAAGAGAAGTACGAGTTCGAGTTCTGAGATAGAGAATTCTATCCAGGGAGCTATCTTGCATTGCAAGCAATCACATCAGCAGAAGCAGAAACAGTATAGTGTTAATGAGGTCGGATTCTGTTCGTTGTCAGCTTCAAGAATCGCAGCTAGGGATGATCAAGAACGGGCTCAGATGTTTAGGGGCTAACTAAAGATATCGGACATGCAGAAATATAAGAAGGAAATAAGAGTTGAGTGAGAGAGTGAGAGAACTAGAGAATAAATTCTTTGTTTTCTTTTGTATTTTTCCTCTTATTTTGCTTCTTCTTTGTTTTTCTATGAGATTCCATAAATTCCCAATGCTTCTTTAGATTCAACTCATGTTACTTGTGATTTGAGGTTTTTTTTTAGATTCGACTTGAGGTTTTTTTAGATCCGACTCAAATATGTTCGGATTTGTAAATCAATGCCAATGTCGTCTAATGTAAAATTCTGATGTGGTCAACTTTTTTTATACCAAAGTGAGAGTTACTAAGGAAAATTTTGTTTCTTCACTAAAATGGTAACTATATGTGATATTTTCGACATTCAATATAATTGATTTGTAATAAATTAATAATAAATATTTATGATGTTTGTTCAACTTTTCTTGTTCATATTGTTGTTATAGTTTATCAACAATCTAGATAAATGTTTTGACTAAATTCTTGATATACTAATCTAAGCACATTACACCACATGTCAATTTTTAAGCTAATAGGATATGTAATGAAAACTTTACACTCTTTGTTTTTAATAGTTTACAACATAAAAATTTACTAATTATACGTTTAATGTCTGCGAAAATGGTGGAATACCTCTAGTTTTAAGCATATCTTTAAACTAAATGTTGCATGTTAAAATCACCTAAAGTAGTGATACTAGCAGAAAAGAATCGTTAAATGAAAAAAAAAAATAAGAGAAAATATATAACTTAATGGAGACTGATTGAGAGGCTGAAATGATGATTCCCTAAACACGAGTGTTAAGAGTCAGACCGTCGCTATCACCATAGAAAGGTTCACTTCTTAAAGTTGAAAAGGAGCATATATATCGGGAAACATGGATCCATGCTTTCAGAAAGCTGATTGCTACTTCGCTCCATAAGTTAATTTGGGTAAACAAATAATTTGTAGTATACTAATGGAGATATTCAAAGAATATAAAGCATCATTACAAGACATGAATGACTTATTACACAGCAACGTTAGAGGTTAGGTCGAGTTCCGAAGTCTAATTAGCCCCCTTTTTCTCTGTTAAGTTTCTTTTCTAAAGTTCTCTTTTTATGTCAAGTCCTATTAACTTTTATACTTTTATACAAGGTCAAGTCCCTTTTCACGAAAACCATATATATAGTATGCTTTAATGCATATATTATAAGAACGTAACTTAGGTGTCTTTAGGAATTCCATATTTAATCAATTAAGAAAGAATATTTGTAGTAACATAAGAATATGTGTTAACTGGTTTTGATTTCAAAATCCCTGAATCTTGACATGTTATAAGAATTTTTAAATTATTGATCCAAGTATGATGGCCTAAGTCGGATATGTTGCCAATCCTAAACAAAAACAAGCATTTTGAAGGAGCATGTTAAAAATCTCAGAGTTCTCCAGTACATGTCTCTTCAAAGAACTAAAGGACACTTCTGAGTTCTGAGAATTAAATATCAAAGCAAAGACCAAATGACGTGAATAATATCGCATCATTAATCATTAATCCTAAAACATAATGTTATTAATTAATAATTAAACCAAAAAGGCGATTTAGGAGGGAGGGAACGGACAAGAGAACCCAAAGCTGTGGGCTGCTTTAGCATATATCTTTTGTGTGTCTGATCAGTGCGTGTGCATCAATTTAAACTTTCAAATCAAAGCCTTAAAATAGGATTAACTTGTCGAAACTTTTCTTTCTCTTTTTATTTTCTTTTATCTTGTTTGATAACAATGTCATCAAAGTTGCACCTTGTTATTATCTATTGATGGGTTAAATTTTGAGATATATTGTAATGTAAAATTGTGGATACTATAATATTTGTATTTTGTTATGAAAATCGATCTATAATCTCGATTATTGTAATTATAAATGAAGATACCAAGTGTACGTATTATAGTAACTAAAAATCAAAGACCAAATACATAATTAATTACCTAAAACCAAAAAAATAAACTCAAAATCTATAGTAAAAACCAACAACTCAAAAATTCAAAACCCAAAATTTTAAAACTGAAAAAGAAAACTACTTTCATTGTCATTTCCATGCGGCCCATATTAATGACATCCTCATTCTGATGGTGGGATAAGCGATCTCCTCCATTCGGCTGCGGATGATTGCCCAAGTTTCTTACGTCCATATATAACTTATTTCAATACTCTCTTAGGCCCATCTGTTTTTTCATGAATTGTATTTTTGCAAACCAAGAAGTTAGCCTATAGTTTCTATTAGGCCTGAAACCATCCCCCGAGTGTTTATATCTTTATATGATTGATAAAGCATAAATGATTTCTTCCCAACTTAGCACATAACCTTGCATTCGGATTGGCAACATTCAAACATTATCCCTCTAATCGAGCTCGGATAACAAAATTACACAACACAAAGAAAAACTACGTTTGATAATCATTCTGTACGTTTACCGACTTACATAGATGTGTGGAGAATAGCAAAAGCACATGGCGTCATCTGGATGGATTAATGTACGAGCTCTTACTGTGTAAACTCTTTAATTTGTACGTATTATATATCTTTTATGCATAAATTTGGATTGTACCTCTTGGCTACGTTTTCTATGTATATTATGCGAATGCGATAGCCCACCGTTGCTTGATCACTGTCCTGACATGTTTAACGATAGTTAGTTTTTAGAATGATTGCCTAATTAAACGTGTAAGTGTTGTAAATTATGCCAGTCTTTGAGATTAGTTAATTACACGAACGATTTTGTGCAAGGCTAAAGGTCAATTCATAGACCACAAATTGATATTTGATATTCTCAAATTATAGCCGGACAAAAATAAACTGTTGAATAAAAGTTTATTTATTCTTTTTGTTTTATACACGCAACACCTCCAGAAATAGTCTAAAAACTTCTCCAATTATAATATGGTGATGCATTGATTCATATATCTCAATGATACTAAACAAATCCAATCAAACATGTAATTAAGTGATCAAATGAGTTTTTGTATGTAGATATGCTACTATTTTATATTATCAGATCTGATCTTGTTTGGCGCATAAAGATATATGTTTTGTCGGCGGTTAAGATTAATAAAAGTGGCTACTATAATTCAATTAACAAACTTAAGATTAAAAAATAGAACTAAAGAAAATAAAGCAAATTGTTTCAAGTTCATGTTCATTGTATCCATATTGAAATCTGATACATTAGATTTTTATAGGGTCCATTGGCATATAACAAAACCACAAAGATTACTATATGAATAAATATATGACCATGTATAAATATATTTTGACTGTTGTTACCAAAATATATATATATATATATATATATATTTTGACTGTTTCAAGAAAAGACAAAAAAAAAAAAAAACAATTATTCTGTCTCTATCTTGAACACTACAAACCTAACGGCACGTTTGAAGCCGGTGGGAAAAATAGTTGTCTTTAATTGTCATTTTATTGTGTCTCCAATAACTTATATGTTCCGGCCTCTTTTATCTTCTTCCTTTTTGGGCTTATCCTTTTTTTTTTATCTATATATACATTTTTGGATGACTTTTAGCAAATAAATTCTGGAGTTGGAATGTATTTACAAAGAATGTCATTGGCATTTATTATTTACTTTTACAAAATTTAAATAAAAGATATGAACCAAACAATATCTTGCCTAATTTGTTTTTAAAAATCTCTACACAATCTTTCCATATATCTTCAAAAAACTTTTATAGCAAATATTTATATTAACATTTTGCATAGTAATAAAAATACTAATTTATAATAATCAAAATATTCACATAGAAAAATTATATACACATACAAGAAAAAAACTATATATGTCATCATTTAAGCCGTTGCTTTATTTAAATAAATTAAAAACACAAAAACCTGAAATCATATATTTTATATGATAAATTTAAAATATATATTAGTAATATAAATTTAAAATCATTCAAAGAACGGTATACCACGGGTGAGATCCTAAAATTATTGGATTTTATTACAATAATAATTTATTTTCTTGGATTTTATAACACTAATAATTTAGCTAATGGGATATTATAGACGGGTTTATATGGAATGACGAGTTTGGGTCGATATTAATAACGGTATATTAAGGATGAAATCCTAAAATTAACAATCAAAATACAATTATACAATCGTAAACACAAAACAAAAGAAACAATATTAACAAAACAAATATAACTTAAAATTTTTAGTTATTAAAAAACCGACCCACGGTATACTTCGGAGTCAAATATTCAAAATTTTAAAATCCATCATACATCGTTACTTAAAAAAAATGTATGTTTTCGTATCTATACTTTAAAAATTGAAACCTAAACAATAGTAATCATACACTAGATAATATTTAAAAATACAAATTAATATGATATATTTTCAGTTAAACTTTAGAAAATAACATTATATTTTTTTAAAAAATATAGCCACGCGGTGTACCGCGGGTTAAATTCTAGTAAATATATTATTTGTCATAACAACAACTTATGAATTTCCAGCTTGATGAAACAAAACGTTGAAAACGAAATCTACCCAAAAAAAAAAAAAAAAAACACTAACTCTCTCGTGGTCTTGTTGATTTCAGATTGGTTAATCAACTTTGGTTTATTTGTCAACAGATTTGTTAATCAACTTGCCTCTTCTTCTCTCGTCTTTTTGCTTTAAAACCCTGAATTGCAATAATTAATTCAAGACTTTTAATTTTCGTTTTGGTCAGTTCATAAGTGTAAACGCGTAGTTATTGAGCTGATGTGAATGTTTTTCTGTTCACGGATCTTTTTGCAACCATCTCTCACTTTTTTTCTCCATCTTATTATCATTATCTTCTCCCAAATAGACTCTGTTTCCTTCAAATTTGTCCACGAAACTTTGAATTCGTGATACCCATTACGATTTTTCTCCTTCACTCTGTTCTTGAATTCCCCTTATTTCTAGAGATTACTCTGTTCTTCGTTGGCTATTATGATAAACCTAAAGCTCTTCTTAGAGCTAAAGTTATGTTTTTTAATAACTGTTCTCTGTTCTTCACACGTCTCCTCTGTTTCTGATACTTTCTTCATCAACTGTGGATCTCCGACGAATGTAACAGTCAACAATAGAACCTTCGTGTCCGACAACAATCTTGTTCAAGGAATCTCTGTCGGAACCACCGATTCGAATTCAGGTGACGAATCGACTCTGTTTCAGACCGCAAGAGTATTCTCCGATGAATCATCAACTTACCGATTCCCGATCGAGAAACACGGTTGGTTCTTGATTCGTCTTTACTTTTTACCCTTAGTCTCTGCTTCTCAAGATCTAACAACTGCTAGATTCTCAGTCTCGGCTCAGAATTTCACTCTGATCAGAGAATACAAACCCTCAACGACTTCTGTTGTTAAAGAATACAGTTTAAACATCTCTAACGATAATCTATCTCTCGAATTTCGTCGTCAAGCCGGTTCTATCGCTTTCATCAATGCCTTGGAAGTTTTTAGACTTCCAGAGAATTTGATACCTGAAGATGCAAAACTCATTGGTACACAAAAGGATCTCAAGCTCAGGAGTCACGCTATGGAGACTGTTTCTCGTGTAAACATGGGGAATCTTAGTGTGAGTCGTGATCAAGATAAGCTATGGAGGCAATGGGATTCGGATTCTGCGTATAAAGCTCAATTCGGAACGCCGGTTATGAACCTCGAAGCGGTTAACTTCAGTGCTGGTGGAATAACTGATGACATTGCTCCTGTTTATGTCTATGGAACAGCCACGAGGTTAAACTCTGATGATCCTCGTACTAACGCCAATCTTACTTGGACATTTAAAATCGTGCCTGGTTTCGATTACTTTGTCCGGTTTCACTTTTGTAACATAATAGTGGATCCTTTTGGTTTCGAGCGTCAGATACGCTTTGACATTTTTGTGAATTCAGAGAATGTTAGGTCCGTTGATATGACAGAGGTTGCAAATGGCACTTTTGGAGCTCCTTATTTTTTTGATGCAGTGATGCGGAAAGCCAGAAGTCGAGAAGGATTCTTGAATCTATCTATTGGTTTAGGTATGGATGTTTCTTCGTACCCTGTTTCTTTTATCAACGGATTTGAGATTTTGAAGCTAAGCAACGATAAGCAGAGTCTTGACGCTTTTGATGCTGTTTTCCATGATGGTTCTTCGCGTAACAAGAGTTCGAATACGAGAATCGGATTCATAGCTGGTTTATCTGCAGCTTTGTGTGTTGCTTTAGTGTTTGGTGTGGTTGTATTTTGGTGGTGTGTCAGGAAAAGAAGAAGAAGAAATAGACAAATGCAGACTGTTCATTCTAGAGGAGATGATCATCAGATGAAGAAGAATGAAACCGGTGAGAGCTTAATCTTTTCGAGCTCAAAGATCGGTTATCGATACCCCTTGGCTCTAATCAAGGAAGCAACAGATGATTTCGATGAAAGCTTAGTGATCGGGGTTGGTGGGTTTGGTAAAGTTTACAAAGGAGTCTTGAGGGACAAAACCGAGATAGCTGTGAAACGCGGTGCTCCTCAATCTCGTCAAGGTCTTGCGGAATTCAAGACAGAGATTGAAATGCTTACTCAGTTCAGACACCGGCATTTGGTTTCTTTAATCGGATATTGCGATGAAAACAGTGAAATGATCATTGTTTATGAGTATATGGAGAAGGGAACGCTTAAGGACCATTTGTATGACTCGGATGATAACCCGAGGTTAAGTTGGAGACAGAGGCTTGAGATATGCGTTGGTGCAGCTAGAGGGCTTCACTATCTCCACACAGGTTCCGCAAGAGCAATCATACACCGCGATGTGAAATCTGCTAACATTCTCTTGGATGAGAACTTTATGGCCAAAGTTGCAGACTTTGGATTGTCTAAGACAGGTCCGGATCTTGATCAAACACATGTGAGTACCGCGGTTAAAGGAAGCTTTGGATATCTTGATCCAGAGTATCTAACAAGACAACAACTGACTGAGAAATCCGATGTTTACTCTTTTGGTGTGGTGATGCTTGAAGTAGTATGCGGTAGACCAGTCATTGATCCATCGCTTCCAAGAGAGAAAGTGAATTTGATCGAATGGGCGATGAAGTTGGTGCAGAAAGGGAAACTGGAAGATATCATAGACCCTTTTCTTGAAGGGAAAGTAAAGCTTGAAGAGGTGAAAAAGTACTGTGAGATAACAGAGAAGTGTTTGTGCCAAAACGGAATTGAGAGGCCAACAATGGGAGATTTGTTGTGGAACCTAGAGTTCATGCTTCAGGTGCAAGCAAAAGATGAGAAAGCAGCAATGGTGGATGATAAGCCAGAGGCGAGCGTCGTGGGCTCGACCGTGCAGTTTAGTGTGAATGGAGTGGGAGATATTGCAGGGGTCTCAATGAGTAAAGTTTTCGCGCAAATGGTTAGAGAAGAAACGCGATAAAAGATTTGATCAAAAGAAGAGTATCTTCATCACTATTGTGTTGTTTGTACAGGAGGGATCACAATACTGTTTTATACATTGTTATTATTTATCACTTGATCCTTTTAATCTCTTTGCATGTCTTGTTTGAAAACCTTTAATTGCTGCAAATATTTGCATATGTTTGTTAGCAACTAAACGAACCAGAAAGTTGGATTATTATATACACACAAATATAAAACATAAATGAGATCAATTCAAATTCACTAATGGTTCAAAGGACATGAAAAAAAGAAACGAGATGAGATGCAAGAAATTACGTAAAACCTGTGGTCACAATAAGAGTTCACTAAAGCAAATTTCCCTTATATATCTTCTCGTACGCTTCAGTTTAAATTTGAACCAACCTTGGCACATAACTGCTGGAAAAGTAGGTATCCATCCAATATTTTCTTCGAAATCCATATCTATGTTGTGATGAACCTCTCCAAAAATGTATGCTTTTGCTTTGTCCCAACAAACGGCGACTTCATTCTCTTGCTCGATAAAGAAACTTACATCACACGTAAACCTGTGGTCACAATAAGTGGTCAAATCCACTGCCAAAAACTTGCTCCATAACAAGCTGACCTTGGTCTGATCAATCTTATCACTGGTCGTCACCCAAATCTCTACCCTTGATGTATCCAAACTCTGTTGCAAAACCGAAAGTTTCTCTTCTTTAACAACTGATAAGGCCAAAATCTCATAACCAAGACGCTGAAAGGGAAGATTCATGCGTCCAAAACTCTCGGTTGTGAAATCGAAACTTAGTAGTAGTAAAATGCCTTTGATGACTTCTGAAGCCAGTCAATAAGTATTCCCTTTTAAAGACACCCCACGAGATTGTATGTCACAGCCGAGAGTGACTTCATCAAGATTCCTCCATAAACATGGATCATTGTAAATATCAAAGATAGTTAACTCTGAGGATTCCCTTGTCGGATAAAATACACAAGACTTTGTAGCTATCGCACAGTTCCTTATGGTATCCAAGGGCAAAGATGGAACCCGTGTATTCATTTGGATAGACATACATGGTTTTATCCGAACAAGGGTTCCAAACGATAAGCATGTTGCCGCTCATGGTACGGAACAACAATAAACCATCGCAGTGAAAGATATCAGATATCTGGATTTTTGCATTGCCAATATAATCATTAGCAAATAAGCTGCCGGATTCAATGCGGGCCTTGGAGACTCGACGTGATCGGTTATCAACGTCGAAGAAATAAAGCTTTGCATTCTTCATTACAATAACTTCTCTTGCTGTTTTGTCGAATCGTTTTTTTGGTGAATCCTGGATCTTTGAATAAAGCGTTCCATTGTTTGCAAGTACATCGCAACTCTCTTAGAGACTCGTCCGGAACCCTAGACACTATATCCTCTAACAAATCACGTGGAAGATCTAACATCGCCATTGTTCGAGAGGCCGTTTGCAATTAAAAATATTAGGGTTTTTGTTTTGTTTTAGGTTTGTCGCTTCAATATATAATAAATAGAATATTGGGAGAAGGAGAAGGGGAGATCTGAAATTGGGAATGCAAAGTATAAGATGGCAAATCAGAGTTTTCGTTCAAAACATCAATTAGATTATCTTGTTAAAAGTAACTTACAGAAAACTTTTAATTCGAGAACTTATAAGTCTCTCTCTCTCCCTCTTAATAATCTAATCTCTCGAAAGCTTTATTACAAGAAACTCTTTCTCTCTTAGATCTTAAGAACTATGAATCTCTCAATGCATGACCCTAGAGCTTATCATCGACCCCCTATTTATACACACAAGTGTCGATCAATTTCTAATTCTATGATACTAACAGTTTCCTTTTAGTTAGTATCATATTTCCTTTTACATGTTTTTGCCGAATTAACTTTTTTTTTTTTTTTAACTCCCTCCGTTTCGGTTTAGTTGTCGTTTTAGGATTTAAATTTTGTTTCATAATAGTTGTCGTTTTAGGTTTTCATTGCAAATGTTTGGTGAAAATTCCAGTTTTATCCCTACTGTTTTAATGTTTTGGCCAATGAATTTTTTTATAAAATATATTAATAAAGGGTAAAACAGAAAATTTAATGTTTTTCTTAATTTGTGTGAAAAAACCTTAAACGATAACTAAAACGAAACGGAGGGAGTATCTTATTTTCATCTTGAATCTTTTTTCCTTTTTGCTATGACGGTTATGAAATTTGCTACACTCACAAGATGGAGAGATGGACGGTTGATTAGAGATCTCGAGATTACGAGATCGAGGTGAATATATTTCTCTATTGTTACTAAGAAAATTAACATTTGTGTATATTTTCTTATTGTTAAATAGTTAGATTTACCATTATAATAAATGTAAAGAATATTATTCTTATTACTACTAAGATTTCCTCCAAATTTATCATAGAAAATTAACAAAAATGAGACAACATGTAAAATGGAAAGATTTCAATTCACTGTGATATTGCTTCCCCGGTTATCTAGAGGGACGTCAGTAATTCTAATCACCAACATGGCTCAAATCGCGGTTTATGGTTTCATTAATCGGGTATAGCGATGAGAATAGCGAAATGATTGGTGCGTAATAAGATCTCCTCCATTCAATCTCTTGGCTCACGCAAGCTTGAAGATGGTTTGAATTTTTTTTTTTTTGTCAACTGATGGTTTGAATTAAGAAGCTGAGTTTGTTCTAAATTCTGTTTAAAATTTTTCCAAAAACGTTTAATATAAAGATGCATATATTGTACCATGATTTTTTTGGTTGAATAAATTTACCATCCATTAAAAAAAAAAAAAATAGCGAAATGAAAACGATATTTACTTCCTCGGTTATCCAGAGGGACGTGATTAATTCTAATCAATAGGGCCCATTATGTAAACGTGGCCCAAATTAGTGAAGTTCAAAAAAAAAAAAAAAAACTAGTTGATATGATTTGGGTAAAATTAGCATGGTTTTAGACAATAAACTCTATTTAAATGTAAGACATACGAAGAAAAAAATGGAACACATGTTAGCGACTTCATTTAATATGTTAATCAAATTTATCTCTTTTTCTATAATGAAATTGAAAACAATGTTATTTAGGACATCGAAAGTATTGATCTACAGTTTAATTCTATTCTACTGATACGTCATTAGCTATTGGAACTATTACATGTAAACTGTCGTAGTAAAATTTTCAATAAATATTTTAAAAGCTATATAAAAGTTGGCTACGCTCTTCCAAGTTTTGTTGAATAATAGAATGAACTTTCCCGTCCTTTGATCGTGGCGACAAGAAGGGAAATGCAGTTAGAAGTTAGTAAGCAAAAGTCAACAAAAAATTAATTACGGCTAAAAGTCAAAATGAAATTGGAAATGTAAAGCATTCCCTATCACATTTAATGCTTACACATGTTAACCACTAACACCGCCTAGGATTAGATTTCTAGAAGGTGGGAACATGACAATGAGTTACGTTCAAAATTGGTTTTGAAATCAGTGTGATTGGAGAATATTTGGTAAGAGGAACCAATATGTTATTTTCATGATGATGCGAATTTTCTGATTAGTATGTGTATCAATTGATTGTCCAACAATATCAATTTGGTAGCGAGTTTTGAAAAATGTCCATTCTTTTCCCGAAAGCTTTGTCGGATAACGTACTTTGATTTGTTGTGCCTGACTAAAGTAATAATAGTAGCGAATGACATGTCATTACCGAGCTATTATAGAAGAACGATCACACGTTATTTTCATTCTTAAAAGCTTAGCTATATTTTCTATAATTACATTAATAATGCTTTGTTCAAAATCTCTTAAAATTAATATTTTGAACTTTTGGCTAGATATTTGATGTTTTGATACGACTAAAACCACTATACAAACCGCATCTTTTTTCCTTCTTAATTTGTGTACGATATTGTTCCTATTTTTATTTGTACTATAAGAAAACTGTACTTAACAATCATGACTATTATATTTTGTGGATATATGTATATCTGTTAGATTTTTGTTTGCTTTTTCAATTATGGACAATGTATGTGTGTTCCATAGAAAGGAAAGGACGATGATATGGGTGACAAGAGAAAGAGATGGCATTGATATCAAAGAGTCACGCATCCTAAATCGAATTCATAGGATCTTCTTCAATTTCAAGTTCCGTCGTGCATGAACAAGTACTTGAGCATTAACTCAAGAAGACATTTCCCGATAACATCTTCACATATAGTATAAATTACCTATTTGGTGACATATTTGACTTTAATCCCCACATGCATCGCAATAAATATGAAGTCATCTTCTTTAACAATACAAGAAATTAAGTCATCTTATATTGACCCATCTCAATATACTTTATGCTACATGTTTTCCTATATAATGAATAAATTTTGGGGTCAAATCCAGAGTAATCTCTAAATTTGTAGAAACTGGATTATTATGTCACTAAAGATATTTAAATTAGCTTTAAAAAAAAAAAAAAAACTAAACTAAATTAGCTACCAAGAAAAGCCTGTCAAACGAAAAATGCTAACAAAAATCATGCGAATGGAATTGACTACTGACAACCAGCAAAATATTTTATACTACGTAACTATAGATAACCTTAAACAATTTTTCTAACTATTTAAAACTTTCAAAATCTCGATTCATTCTATGAATCGTATCACATATTTTTGCAATGATTACATATATATTTAGTGAAAACCATCACAACTTCGTCCATAATAACATTTTTTTTTCTGAAAGAACCACAATAACAAAATTACCATGGTAAAATTACTAATCTCACTAAGTTGTCGATGGAGACTTACGGAAGTATCTTATATAATGAAGAAGGGTTTCTCTTAAACATAAATTAAGAGAAGCTTACACTTGACATCTCTCAAGTTGACATGTCTTTTTTATTTTGACAAATACATGTTATTTCTTTTTGAAATGAAATACACATTATCTATTTTTAGATTTAGTTATATCTCTAGTATAGTTAGAAAGTAGACAACAACATGGTTTTCAAAATAGATTATCAATTGAAAAATGATCTTCAAAATAGCATTTCATGTTAATATTACATCATATACAAAAGATCCATCAATTAAACCGGTATAGCTAGTCCTATAGAGAAAAAAAAACAAAAAAAAACTAGAACATGGCACACCACTCAATATTTAAAGCGGAGACAAAATTTTCATTCAAATAGCGGCTATAACTAACTAGTTCGTCAGGAGGTTGCAATAAATGATTGCTATAATATTGTTATGCTTGCAGTTGCCTATCACCACATGTGTGCACACATACGTAATGTAGACATGAGTCAGGGCGTGTCCACATTAAAAAACTATGACTTACTCTATAAGGTTTTGGATGCCTAATCTCTTGTCATATAAGACTCATAAGCAAATAAATTAAAATAGCATTTTGAATTAAGGGTTTAAAGTCCAAAATATTCTTGTTATAAAAGGTTTGGCTAGAACCTTTTAGATTTTATTTTAGACAACTTCACCTTGCATGTGCGTGTTGAAGAGTTTTCCGGCATAGTGTTAGGCTTTCAATTAAGTTCTAGGCTTTTAAATAAGTTTGGCAAGTGAAGTAGCTAAGCTAGCTAGCCTTGTAGGTAGCCATTTAATATAGATTTACGTTTTTATTTTAATTGGACCGACTATGAAATAGACCAATATAAAACATCAGTCTACATGCCTAGATCCTTGAGTATATTACTAATACTAGTATTTCACATGTACAAACCATTTACAAGTTGGCATCAATTTTGCATGACTTTTTTGTTTAGATAATATTTTCGCTTTTTAACTACTTGTTCCATCATGTAATTCAAGCTTTGACTACCGTAGTAGAAAATTTGTCGTTTCCACTTTTAAAATTGCTTTTAGTTACCTAATTCAAATTTTTTGTCAACTACATAAAAGGCTAAAACGCAATCAAGAATACTATTTTACACAAAAATGCAGATTTTAGATAATTCTAACTAGGTAAAGACCACACGATGTTTATATTTGGATTTTATTTTGTGATTAATTCTACATATATTCACAGAAGTTGAACATTCACTCAAACTACGAATGAAATAAGCATTAATGGAGGCAACTATATATGGGAAACACACACGAAAGTCCTCGACCCATGCCTATGTTAGATGAACAAACACCCTTTACCTAATTGGCTAATTCCCAAGTCAATAAAACCCATTCCGCCACGTGTCATGTTCCCACCGATATTTTTAATTTCTCGTTACCCCAAGAAAAACGTAGTTGGTAATTTCTACTTTCGGGAACTTTAGATATGATAGGTGGACTCTTCACCTTCCCCAAATAAATAAACAATAAATCAAAAACGCATTTACATCCAAACAGTCAAAATATAAACCTAACATACTTTTCCCATGCAACTCACCCAGACAGACTTTCTTATTTAACATATAGCCTTCGTGTCTTCACACATCCAAACACGTCTCTTCATGCACTCTCTCGCTTCTATATATATAAGTTTATAGAAACATAACAGATTCATACATATCCAACCAAAGTCCCATAAACTAAAGAACAAACTCTTCTTTCTCTTCTTCTTCTTCTACAACAGTTATGAGCGTGTTTTAAGACCGTTAATTTGTTAAATCACTCTTAAAAAGTTTTTCTTTTTGTTACTATGGCTCGTATTGTAGCAGCTAATGATGATGATTCCATGGAGCTCAACGCCATCTCCTCTTTGCACGATTCAACTTTAGGGCAACTTCTGAAGAACGTCAGTGACGTTAGGAAAATGGCTATTGGAGACGAGACTCCAGTTCACGAGTCCTTAAACCAAGACTTCAACGATGGTTACATGCGTACTGTTCCATTTGTTCTCTCATTCGACAATCTCACATACAACGTATCTGTTCGTCGAAAGCTAGAGTTCCGCAACCTCTTTCCACGGCGAAGAACAGAGGATCCTGAGATAGCTCAAACCGCGAGGCCAAAATCTAAAACCCTTCTCAATAACATCTCTGGCGAGACTCGAGATGGAGAGATCATGGCGGTTCTCGGAGCTAGCGGTTCGGGGAAATCAACACTGATCGATGCATTAGCGAATCGGATTGCTAAAGGAAGCTTGAAAGGAACAGTGAAGCTAAACGGAGAAACACTTCACTCTCGAATGCTCAAAGTCATATCAGCCTATGTAATGCAAGATGATCTTCTCTTCCCTATGCTTACCGTTGAAGAAACACTAATGTTCGCTGCTGAGTTTCGTCTTCCGAGAAGTTTACCTAAATCTAAGAAGAAGCTTCGTGTGCAAGCTTTGATTGATCAGTTAGGTATTAGAAACGCTGCTAAAACTATTATCGGAGACGAAGGTCACCGTGGAATCTCCGGTGGTGAGAGAAGACGAGTTTCGATCGGAATTGATATAATTCACGATCCAATTCTTCTCTTCCTCGATGAACCAACCTCTGGTTTGGATTCAACGAGTGCTTTCATGGTGGTTAAAGTGTTGAAGAGGATTGCTCAGAGTGGCAGTATCGTTATTATGTCGATTCATCAACCGAGTCATCGAGTTCTCGGTTTGCTTGACCGGTTGATCTTCTTGTCTCGTGGCCACACCGTGTACAGTGGATCTCCGGCGAGTCTTCCGCGTTTTTTCACCGAATTCGGAAGTCCGATTCCGGAGAACGAGAATCGAACGGAGTTCGCGCTTGATCTCATCCGTGAGCTTGAAGGATCCGCCGGAGGAACAAGAGGATTAGTCGAATTCAACAAAAAATGGCAAGAGATGAAGAAACAGAACAACCGTCAACCACCATTGACTCCTCCTCCATCACCATACCCAAATCTAACACTAAAAGAAGCAATCGCCGCAAGTATTAGCAGAGGAAAGCTAGTTTCAGGCGGTGAATCCGTCGCTCACGGCGGAACAACCACCAACACCACAACTCTAGCCGTACCTGCATTCGCGAATCCAATGTGGATTGAAATCAAAACTCTCTCGAAACGCTCAATGCTCAATTCGAGAAGACAACCAGAGATATTCGGAATCAGAATCGCCTCCGTTGTTATCACCGGATTCATCCTCGCCACCGTGTTCTGGCGATTAGACAATTCACCAAAAGGAGTTCAAGAGCGGTTAGGGTTCTTCGCCTTCGCGATGTCGACAATGTTCTACACTTGCGCCGATGCATTACCAGTTTTTCTCCAGGAACGTTACATATTCATGAGAGAAACTGCTTACAACGCTTACCGGAGATCCTCCTACGTTCTCTCTCACGCCATCGTCTCTTTCCCATCGCTCATCTTCCTCTCCGTAGCTTTTGCAGCGACGACGTATTGGGCAGTGGGCTTAGACGGAGGCCCAATGGGCCTTTTGTTCTACTGTTTGATCATTTTGGCCTCCTTCTGGTCAGGAAGCTCCTTTGTCACGTTTCTATCAGGTGTGGTTCCAAGTGTGATGTTAGGTTACACAATCGTCGTTGCCATTTTAGCTTACTTCTTGTTGTTCAGTGGATTCTTCATCAACAGAAACCGAATCCCGGATTACTGGATTTGGTTTCATTACATGTCATTGGTGAAATACCCCTACGAAGCAGTTTTACAAAACGAGTTCTCTGATGCGACCAAGTGTTTTGTGAGAGGAGTTCAGATTTTCGACAACACTCCGTTAGGGGAATTACCAGAAGTGATGAAGCTGAGGCTGCTTGGTACAGTGAGCAAGTCGCTCGGTGTGACGATATCTAGCTCGACGTGTTTAACTACTGGTTCGGATATTCTGACGAAGCAAGGAGTGGTTCAGCTGAGTAAATGGAATTGCTTGTTCATCACAGTTGCTTTTGGGTTCTTTTTTAGGATTTTGTTCTACTTCACTTTGTTACTTGGAAGCAAGAACAAGCGGAGGTGAAAACAAAAATGCTAATAGACCCAAATCAAAAACATACTTGTATTTTCTGTTTGTAATTCCTTGAATTGTTTAATGCAAAAATGGTTTTTTTTCATATATATATATATATAGAAAAAGGTAAGTTTCCTGGATTACCTTATCTTAAAATCTTTAGAAAAAATAAGGATTTCCATATTCACAAAAACGTCTTTACAAACAAATTTGACTTATCTTCCAAACGTTTCCTACTAACAGACTATGAAGTATTATAAACCTAAAATGTCATACCTGAGATTGTGTGTGTGGCAGAAGATGATGAAGCCAGAGAGCCTTGGAATTATCTTCATTGGTCTCCTCAAGATCAAAAGATATGATGAACTTCATTTTAGCGTTTTTGCTTTCTTTTGTTTCCATCAGACTATAACAAACACTAAATTTTTTCATCATGTACGTGTAAAAAAATCATTGACGTCTAGATTTCGATCTCCATGAGCAACTGCGTCTTCAGGTTCTGGCATGAAGAGACTCGTTGATGACGCCTGCACAAGGAATAACACAAAACCACTCCTCAATCCATATCTTGAAAATAAGAAACTACAAGTCTCAAAATAAACATATGGCAAATGCAAAAGAAGACCTACCTTGGTATCAAGAAGCATATCTCCGTTGCTGTCAATAATGATGTTAGCGCCATGAGTTTTTAGCCATTCCAAACACTCCTCCATACCATCACTCTCCTTTTCATCAGTAGCCTCGCTTGCAGCACCAGTAAAGCCCAACACTTGGACTATGTATGAGACCGGGATTGTAGGACGACAACTACGCGACATAAAATTCACAGCCTTGTAACGCATCTTCTCCACATAGAGATCTGCAACCATAAAAATTTCATCATATCCTAACATATCTAGCCATTCAATTGTTTAAACATACCAAAAGAGTTTTCATGTGTCATATGACCCTTACCCATGACGCAACTATTCATGTTCGGTGCAGTCTTGTAGAGTCTGAAGAACATAACATAATTTCCTGATGTGACAGCTGCACGAACTGAAAGAGCATGTCTAACTGCTTCATCCTTCTTATCTTCTTCGGATAATCTACGAAACAGAGGTCACAAAATTACTCAATCTCATGCATACAACCCCAATTCAAAGGGGTAGTATAACCTCTTTGCACTGGTAGTAAGAGATGTTACAAAAACTCAACTATCAGATAGGTGGGGTGAACATTTATAATTCCAATACTATTCCCAGTTGGTTACTCACATAAATTGTGTAGCAAACCTTATTCTGATCTTCCCCGAAACTTTAATTTATAAAGTTTCTCATGAAGCATCATGCTTAAACGGAGTCCAGAGAGAGAAATTTAGAAGTACTAACCTGGACATGGATGATAGCAGTTCTCGGTTGTTGTTAGAGTGTAGAGTAATATAGAGTAGACTGTACGCAGCAAACTCCAGAGAGCATCCTTCTATACCTTCCGCATAAAGAGTTTTTAACTGTGACAGGCACTGTAATAAAAAAAAAAATATAAATCAATTTAGCAAGGCTATAAATACCCTAAGAGTTATAGTCTCCTCTGGAATAGACAACAGATGTATTCTACAAGACTTGATGGAACAGTATCATTATATTGCAGAATCAATGCAAACAAAAGCCAATATCCATAGTACCAGTCATCAGAATTATGCTCCCTTTTGCAAGTTTCTCTCTGATTCAACACTTGTTTTGCTTTTTTTTAATTATTTTTTTGAAAATGAGAGACCAGTGAAATTCTAGCAGTGGTTGATACTCTTTAAATTACGAAAAAGACAAAAGTGTTTAATACCGAATATGATCTAGAAATTCTGAGTGATTACTATTCCAAAATTTGATCAGTCTGTGGTAGCGTACCAACCTGATTATACTCAGGTAAATCCCCTGCCTCCAAAGCCAATCTAGCATGTGTTTCATAAACCTGAAATAGAGATTGAACATGGAACCATCATAAATATGCTAATTGGGTGATAGGTCTTGTAAATAGGACAGACCTTTCACCAGGAAATGGATTCTACATGCAATAGCACTCGACATTATTCAGAACTCAGTAATGTACCTTAGCTGTTAATTGATTGTGTATCCGTTGTACTGTGAGGTCTTGGCGAATAGACTTTAGCTGATCACATTTATATAGATAATTCTTTTGAGAATCCTGAACCATTATCAGAGCTTTTTCCAACACATCCTCTGGTCTTACCTGAAAATACGTCAATAAAAAATATCAGTCATGGTGTCAAAAAGATTACTCTGTATGAGATAGTGATATTTACAGTTGCAGGATCTGGCGCAGAAGTCAGACGGAGATAACGTTTCTCAATTTCTTGGCAAGTGCCTTTAACAGTTAGTGCATCCCAGTCAATGTCTTCCACAGCTCTGCTGCCACTTTCATCAAAAACTTTGCTAAGCCTCAAGGCAGTGGCTCTTCTAGTATGCAAATTTCCAACATTTGCATTCTTAGGTTTTGTAAGATCATTCCCTCGGCTGTGGCCTTGAACTTTTTCAAATCGCTTGGAACGACTATCACGTCGCTTCTTTTCCTCAGCAGAACTAGCAAGTGCCATTGCACTGGAATAGTAAGGTGTCAAATCCTTGTCACTATCACTAGATGCCTCATCATCAATGGCGGTAGCTGCTCCACCAGAAAAACGCTGTCGCTTGACAGGCCGCTGGAAATTTTTTTTTGCAGAATTTTGCCCAGAATAAGTGGGCTTGAAGCCAGTGGCAGCATCCACCTTTTGAAAACTCTCAGAGCTCTGCAAAATTTCTGACTATCAGAACGACCGCAAGAACCGAGTTCTAACAGCTAAATACACATTAAATCAACAGCTAAATGCCTTCTTTTCATTTCCTTCGACCAGGCATTAATAAATAAGAAGGAAAGAGATTGGTTAACCTTTTTGTTGTTTTCATTTTGGTGATTCCAAGCTCCAAATTTAACAGCACTTCTAAAAGTTGAAGCTGGCTTCACAAAAGGTTTTCCTTCCACTAACGGCTCCCATCTACTTTTGGGTCGTCTTGTTGGGCTCTTATTTTGTAACGAAGAAAGCTGAGTGGAGCTCGACCTATGGCACAGTGTAAAACTTAGTACAAAACATATGAAGTAAGTGTGCCAGACATATAATAGAGAAGAACGAAAGTTATAGATAATGCAGGCAGGAGACGATGGAGGAAAAAAGAGCCGTACTCAGAGTTAGTCACATTTGTGGTCGTGACAGTTGAGAGAGGCTCAGTATCCCAATCTCGAGTATAAAGAGTATTATCCTCCATGGCTTTTTTGACGATCTAGAGATACAAAAATAAGCATCAGCAATGCGAAACAATGCATAGCAACCATAAATTAACATGGTATCCAAATAACTGCTAAATGATTTCTTCCATAGAAGGCATGAAAATATCTTAAACATACTACACATCTACTCGAAAGATCAAGTTGAAGAAGTTCATCCAAAATATTGCATTGATATTAAGATGAGCAGAGTGTGTAACTAAAACCATCTATCATGCTACAATAGTCCAACAACCAGAGCGTCAACAATTCCTACTAACATTTACCTTCCTCAGGGCTACCTCGCAAGATGCCTTTTCTTTATCATCTTTGCAGCGTGCAAAAGCCCTCTCAACAAACCCACGAAGCGATTTTGGGAAGGTGTTAGGCTACAAGCATCGGCATTATTTGTTTCCAATGTCAATTACTCAATTGTGAAAAAGAAACAATTATCAACACCCAAATTTACAGTGGCCAACATTTAATATCTACTTCACTTGCTAGGTCATCAAGATTTGAAAAAAAGGAATCTTACGTCAGGCATAGCAGTGGTATGGTCTTTAGGCTTTGGCATTGAAACACTAACATATGCAGGTGCTTGGGCTGCACTGGCTGATGTACTGTCTTTATCCATTTTGGTAAAACCTGATGGCAAGTTTGAAGCAATTCTAGGGTTAGTTGGAATCTGTACTTTGCTTACCCTTTGCGAATCCACTGACGGTGCTGTCTGAGTAGGCTGGCGATAGCCTAACGGTGCCTGGTTAAAGGAAGGCTGGGAGTTCATCTCTTGAGGATAGGTAGCTCTCTGATGACCCTGAAAGGGGGTCTCGTACAAAGGTTTTGTCTCCAGAGGACTCGGGTAATGATTTTGAGGTGGAACAGGATGATGAGCTTGCAGACTTGGTGCTTGATGTATCCAGTAAGCATCATTAGATGTACTAACAGCTGTACCAGGCTGAGAGAATGATGATAAAATGAATACTAAGTTAATATTCAATAAAAAGGACTCCCATGAAAGAAAGCAATCAGATATCATGTCTAAACTGTCTGCACATATAAAATTTAAGAATTGACTCTATGCAGTATTGCTTGGTGGCTAACAGGTCAGCTACTATCACTCTTTTCCCAACAAAGTTGATTTATAAGCAGAACAACACACATTTTATCAATTAGCTGTAAGCAGAAAAGCATTCAAAACTCAAATACGCTTAAGGACGCAAATTTACTCTAATCCCTTATGAAAGTAAAATCTGAACCTGCTGAGAAGGTGGATGGGATGCGTCAGTTTCCGGCCTCCAAGGTTGGACATAAGACGGGGCAGGCTGACTATTTGAAGCAGGCATTTCACTAGTAACACCAGGAACTGGAAAGCTCTGACTATATGCACTTGTGGCAGACAACTTTTCTGTGCCTGGGGCACAGGGGACTTCTGTTTGGCTGTAATATTCTGACCATTGTTGGTAGTTCTGTTGATAATGTACAGGTGGTGTGGTTGCAATAGTAGAGCTATGAGAGTTAGCAGCGTCAGGAGTATAATTTTGATAAGGGTTTGAGGTGTAATCCATATAGTTTCCCTGGTTCGAAGCAGGAGTCTGATTGCTGTAATTTGTACTTGGGTAACTTCCAGCCGTTTGGTTGTTATAATTTGTACTTTGGTAACCTCCAGCAGTCTGATAATCAGCAGGATTGTAGTAAGTTCCTGAATAACTTGCAGTCCCAGCATAAGATCCTGGATTCTGAAATGAGGAAAGAGGCTGAGGAGCACCTGTATTTTGATAAGTCCCTACAGGCTGAGGATATGACTGGCTAGGTTGCTGTTGATAGCCACTGTAGTAATTGGAATATCCCGTGTTTGAATAGTTGTGTGGGTCAGAAGAGGTCTGGTATGGCGTATATCCACTATAATCTTGTGCCACATTTGCAGTTCCAGACGTCGATGAGCTAGTGAAGGATGAAGTATTCGGTATTTCTTGCACATTGCTTGTGGCTGGCCCCGTGGGCTGTGGATGGTAATAGTTTGAATTTGAATAGTTCCCATTCTCCACAGCCTGATTTTCAACAGAATGCGCTGTCCATGGGGCACTGTCAGACCCAGTTGAGTATTGATATGAATATTTATGTGCCTGGCTTCCATCAACACCATATCGATTCTGCATAAAAGAGAAAGCATTAGTAGTGGAAAATGGTCTGGGAATTTTTTACCACATAAAGAAATAACTAAAAAGGTCAAAGAGTGAAAACAAACACAGACAAACAACGAACAGAAATATAATCTCAAATCAAGACTATATCTACAACTTAAGATGCTAAAGGCCTCCCACACAGTCTCAAGTCAATCTAAAAGGACCTCAAACATAGAGAGATCAATAGCTAAGTGCCTTAACCAAACCTAAAACTTAATAGAATTTGTTGTAGTAAAAGTACTTTACATCTTTGAGCTGTTTTGATAGTGGTAAATTGCTAGTGAAAATCATACTGCTCCACAGAATTGATGAAAGGTCTATTCTTAAAGTAGAGAATGAGTTTCTGAAATATAGAGAGTTCACATACCTAGCCTAGAATCAAAATCACTTTTTTTCTCCTGCATAAACGTATTGACATGCAAAATTCCTCTAACCATTACAATGGTGAACTAACAACAAGCATAACTTGCTGTAAGATCAACATATCTACCCGCATGTCCCCAAAGAAAATAAGAGTAACAAATTAATCAGGAGCAAACTAAAATCAACAAATTCAACTCACGCAATAACACGAACGCAAAAATTGACCCAATGCACAAACTACCAGTTGCATAACTTGCATATAAAGAAAGACCAATAATTCTGCAAAGTGAAAAAACTTTAAGCTTAAAAGAGAAGACGCAAGTTGTGATTACCTCAATGGAATTAGGGTCCATTGGTGCTACGGCCTGAGTATTGCCTCCTTGATTCATGCTATATCATCAACGTCCTGCAAAATCATCACACATACGATTGAACTCACTTTCGAATGAACATAGCAGAGAAAAACTAAATTCATTCAGAGAAAAGCCCTAGATAGCAAAACAGAGAAAAAGCAGCAAGAATTTGTACCGGTGAAGCTCCAATTTGTGTGTTCTTCGTTCGTTTGAAGAATCGAATTGAAGATTGTAGAGTAGAGCAGGATTTGAGATCAAAACCAAAACAAGGTAACAAAAGGAAACGAATAGAACAGGAAAACAAAAACAAAGGCAAATAAAAATATAAATCTAAAGAGAAACAACAGGGAGAGTTGTCAAAATCTATCGGAAATTACAGAACACGGAGAAAATCGAGGAATCTGGCCGAAGACGAACAATTTTGTTGTGCCGGAGACGAAGATTGTCAAATTTTTACGGTATACTAGCGTCATCGGGTCGGGTCGGTTCGGTTTCGGACAGGTTTCCGGGTCGGGTTTTTATATAGCCTCTAATTAATTGGGCCCATTTTCTTTCGAACTTGCCTTTTCTTAATGGATCCGTAAAGAATGCAACAAAAATAAAATAACAAGTTTCCGTGAATGCAACAAACATAGTGAATATGTTTACGGTTAGTTTATATATAGACGTCAAAACAAAACATTTACATATAGTTAAGATTTATGATAAATATTTGGGTTAAATATCGTGTATATAAGTTTCCGTGAATCAATGTTTAGTTTAGACAAATCTTGTATTGTTACGTGAAATTTAGCTTAGTTGAATTTAATATCGTTAATTAAGTGGAAGAAACTTACCATAGAAACAAGCTATTGGTGATGAACGGATCAACTGTCTAAAATTTAACTAAACTACAAATCGACATAAATTTCGAGAAAACAATCATCATCCAACATATATAGGAACTGAAATTCGTATATACAGATTATGCTCAATGCGAAAGTGCCAAATATTTCGTTAGAAATCGCGGGTTAATCCCTATAGTAGCTATTGAGGTAAGGTAAGATGATGCTTTCGTGGTGGATTTAAATCGGTGAGGATTAAATGTGGCAGTGTAGTGAGACAATGGCTTTTGTAATCTAAATAGTTAACGAATCGTTGAAATTATGGGAGAAAGATGTATGGAGTTTTTCATTTACACAAATATATCCACGAAATTTAGTGAGATACAAGTGTCACTCTCTCAGCTGCTGACATGGCAAGAGTGTCAATAAATTACACACATTTCAACACCCACAATTTTTTCATGAGTCATTCCTAATAATTGAAAGAAGTTTTGTTTTGTTTATGCAAACTAGATCTTTTAGTTTAGTTTTACATTTACAATAAGTACTATTAATCTATCTTGCAATGTTATAAAAGCTTACTTTTGTAAACTATACAAGACACGAATAATATCATTGACTATGTTAAGAGATCGTTTCACACACAAAAATTAAGACAAGAGAGGAAATGTTTGGGAGAGTGACAGTGTGACCAACTAGTTTTTTTTGTTCTTTTTCTCATAAGTGTTTTGCTCTTATATATAACACCACAAGTGTTGCAAAGTATTACAATTTGAAACAAACAGTGAGAAATGAATATGTGGATGCAATTTCAGTTTGCTGTGTGGGGCTCTTTTAATATTATACAGTATACTTTTTTCGTCATTGATTTATATAGTACATCAATAATAGGAGCTATCAACATCACATTATAAATATTTACCCTACCATCAGTTGCTTCCTCTTTCTGCGATTATTGGACCATTTCGATGTTCTTGCTATATGTATTTGAATAGTGTACACTGTTGTCATGGTATTAGTGCATTACCAATCAGGCAATCACACAGACCCAGCTTAGGAAAAAATTATAAAGCTATTCATTCATACTTGGACTTAATAAATATTTTAGTAATTTTCTCATGTTTAAGGATTTGGTAATTCATGAGGATGTAGCGGAAGTTGGCACTTTGCCGTGGTGGAGGAGGACATGAATGAGACGACGATGTAAATATTTTATTTAAAAAAAACTATAAAAACGAAATTTCTTTGAGAAAATTGTTGTTTCTCTCTGTTCATTAAAATCATGAATGTCTGCATTTGACAACTTGTTTTTATTGGACACTTATCAAAATCAGGGGTGTATTCAATAAAGGATTTGAAATGATTTGTATTAAAAAGATAAATCCTATGTTATTCAAACATGAATTTTAAAAATCTTTTTAAAATCAAGTGTTATTGGATTAGTGATTTTAAAATCTACAATCAAATCCACTGTTATTGGAAACATTTTAAGTTGTGGATTTGAAATGACTTGAGTGATCTTAGGTGGGATTTGGGAGAGTTTTGATATCAAATTCTCTAATTCACTAAAATTCACCAAAATCATCTCAAAACTCATTAAAACTCAAATCACTCCAAATTCTTTCTTCAATACACCCCCCTTATTGTATTTGTTAGAATCTCTCGTCCAGAAGTGTAAGTGGTAACAAACTAACATGCAACCAGGATCTTGGAATCTCTAATTTCTTTTGGGTTAGTTTGGCTATTTCTCTTCTAATAATTAAGGGCTTAATTACAAGGGACTCTAATTACAAACTAGTATGGGGCTTGGTTTGGCCTTGTAAATGTTTTCTCTCATTTTTTTTTTTTCTTAAAGGAAAAGTAAAGGGAAAGTCTCTCGTCAATCATCATGATTTAGTTACAACTTACAAGTATAACTAAAATTATTATTATTATTTTTTTTCATCAAGTATAACTAAAATTATTGGAATCAACAAAAACGTGTTCCAAATAGTGTCAATAAATACACACACAGTTCAACACTTCTTACTCATCCTTCCATTCTAACTAAAATGGAAGTCTCTCGTCAATCATCATGAATTAGTTACAACTTACAAGTATAACTAAAATTATTGGAATCAACAAAAACGTGTTCCAAATAATGTCAATAAATACACACACAGTCAACACTTCTTACTCATCCTTCCATTCTAAATTAGAGATCAAGAATTTACAGGTTCTATCTTCTCACTCTCTCGATCAAGTTTTGATTTGTTTATACAAACTAACTTTTAGTTTTGTAAATAAATCATACCCATTAGTTGGTTGCTCTCTAATTTGATTCTTGGACCATTTTGATGTGTCTTGCTATGCATTCGAATAGGCTAGTGTATCACCGATCACAGATCCGGCTTTAGGATACATTATAAAGCTTGAATATAAATACTTTATTGGATTTGGATTTTTTAGTAAATTTTTCATTTTACAGTATTTGAAACTTCAAAATGGCGAAAATCTACCGGAAGTTGACACGCTACGGTGGTGAAGGAGGGCGTGAATGGGACGATGATGTATATGAGGGTGTAAGAAAAGTGTATGTAGGACAAGATATCAATCGTATCACTTACGTCAAATTCGAGTATGTGAAGGAAGACGGCAAAGTAGTAACAAGTGAATATGGGACAATAAATCAACAACCCAAAGAGGTTGTTCTTCACTGCATTTACCCTTCATTATTTCACTTTACAAATTTTCTACATCAATTATCTAAAACTCACACAACAATTCACTATGAAAAACCATTATACTACAAGCTCCGATCAATTATAAAGTTTTCTTTCTTATATTTTAATTTCTTGATTTTTTTTTTGTTTTAAAAATTTTAATTTCTTGATTGAATAAATGATATTTTAATTCATATACAGTTTGCACTTCAATATCCGGACGAACACATCATAGCGGTGGAAGGAAACTACCGCGGAGTGGCTCTATGTGCCACGGATGTGATCACAAACCTCGTCTTCAAGACCTCAAAGGGTAGAAAGTCTCCATTGTTTGGTCCAAACTTGCTTGGAATTACAACCGGTACAAAGTTTGTTATTGAGGATGGGGGAAAGAAGATCGTAGGGTTTCATGGACGGTCGGGCAATGCTCTCGACGCTCTTGGAGTTTACTTTGTACATGGCTCTCTAACCACGTCTCCTCCTGTTTACAAGCTGGATGCGCAAGGTGGTCCAGGGGGACGTGTTTGGGATGATGGTTCTTACGACGGCGTTAAATCGCTGCGTATTGGTCAAGATAATTCTCGTATAACTTATTTAGAGTTTGAGTACGAGAAAGGCGGTAAGTTAGAGACACGTCACCATGGGGTGAAACAAGAAAGATCACTGAAGGTAAATTTTCTAGAAACTGTGAGATATAGTAGAAATATAATTGTTGATTTCTTGCGACAGAAGTATTCTTAAATTTTGATTTTGTTGCAGTTTGAGCTTAACCCGGATGAATACATCAAATCGGTGGAAGCAACCTATGATAAACCAGACTTCTTCCGAAATGTCGTCATTACATCGCTTTCATTTGAAACATCGAAGGGGAGAACATCATTCTCTGGATATAAGGGGGGTAAGAAGTTTAAGCTAGAGCAAAAGGGTCGCAGACTTGTCGGGTTCCATGGAAAGGAAGGTTCAGCTATTGATGCTCTTGGAGCATATTTTGCACCTGTTCCTACTCCGACTCCTATAATTCCAGCCAAGAAACTACCAGCAGTAGGCGGCAACGGAGGAGTTGCATGGGATGATGGTGTCTACGATGGTGTGAGGAGGATACTTGTAGGACAAGGAAACGATGGTGTAGCCTTTGTCAAGTTTGAGTACAATAAAGGAAAAGATGTTGTATCCGGAGAGGACCATGGGAAGATGACATTACTCGGAACTGAAGAGGTCATTTCCATAAACAACAAGAGTTTTTGTTTCAAATAATTAATAACTTAAATTATTCACTTATACTTGTTACTTTTGAGTCTTTGCAGTTTGTGCTTGAAGATGGTGAATATCTAACGGCCATAGATGGTTACTACGATAAGATTTTCGGAGTCGAGACACCGATGATAATCTGTCTTCAGTTTAAGACGAACAAAAGGGAGTCAACTCCGTTTGGAATGGATTCCGGTGAGAAGTTCTCACTCGGAGAGATAGGCCACAAGATCGTCGGATGCCACGGACAAGCTAGTGATGTTGTTCACAGCATCGGAGTCACTGTCGTGCCAATCACCACAACCAAGTGAAAAACGAACCTTCTATTATATTAGTAAAACCAGCCACTGTCATGTCGACAAAATAAACTTCCAATAAGGATTGGTGTGTGTTCTCTTTACTCTGCTAATTTTATGTGTTTGTAAGTTACTGTTTCTGTCAAATGTGGCCAATAAGATTGGTGTGTGCTCTCTTCAACCATTCAATAAATCTACCATGAGCCGTGTCAAATAGCTAACATATCGAACACACATCTGACAGCCCCACTGATGTGATGAAGCTTTTCCCCTCTCTGTTTGCTCCTAACATCTTTGTAACAAAAACAAAAAGCTTTCTCATTGTCTTCCTCAAACCCCATATCTCTAAAATGGTCAAGATTTGATTATGCATTTTTTTTTTTTTGTTTCCACCCAAGATTTGACTATGCATATGTTAACCAATTGACTAAAAGTTTTTCACCAAAGATATAATTTCACAGATGACAGATTCTTATAAAGACGATTTGGATTTAAGAAGATAGTGAAAGCAACAAATTAAAGGTAGGCGTAGAATTAAAGTAATCTTAACCAAAGAAAAAAAAAAGTAATCGAAGAAGAGTCGTCCTATATACATATAGGAAAATAAATTATTTTTTGTTAAAATAAATAAATCATACCAATTACCAACAATATGATTTTAACTTTTATTAAAACAGCCTTTCTGAAACTTTCCTTTGGTTGTTTTTTTTTTTCCGGCAACTTTACTTTTTTGAACATCTATTAACTTTACTTTTTTTAGTGTATATAAAAGGACCGTAAATCACAATTAAAGTATTAACGTTAAATCTAGTCCTAATCTTTTCTAAGAGAGGAGAGACTCTGTTTTGTATCAATCATCGATCAATCCCAACTCTAAAAGATGCCTAACACTCAGACGACTAAGTCGTTGTGTTTGGACGGTCTTAGTGATCGCGAAATACTTGAGTATAGGTATCGATCGATTGTTCTTTGTAAACTTTTTTAAAAGTTTTTGCCCGATAATCTCGACTAATATGTTTTTTTTTCTCCTGGATTTTCAGATTGGAATGGGAAGGTTACACCGAAATCAAGATGAAAAGTGATGGAAATTGCCAGGTAATTAATGTTTCTAAATCAAATTATACTCAATCAGCTTGACACATATATTGAATCGTATTATGAATAACCCTTTTTCTTGTTTTTGTCAATTCTATTTCAGTTCCGTGCTTTAGCTGATCAACTTTATCAAACCTCGGATAGTCATAAACGTGTTAGACAAGAAATCGTAAATCAGGTAAATCAATCTTGAAACTTTTCCTATCTTTGCTGATTCTTTTTTTTCACGTGTATTAATGTCATATGATGATGATTATGAATTTTGGATGATGATTGATTGATGACTCTATTTTCTCATGATCAGCTTAAATCTCATCCAAAGATTTACAAAGGGTTTGTGAATAATATGGACTTCTCCCAGTATGTAAAGAATATGTCCACTAACTCCGAATGGGGCGATGAAGTCACATTGAGAGTCGCTGCTGATGTATATGGAGTAAAAATAGTACTCATTACATCAATCAAACTTACTCCATTCATGGAGTTTTTGCCCAAGTCTCAAAAAGAACCCGACAGAGTCATTCATTTGAGCTATCTCGCAGGGATCCATTTCAACTCCATCCACAAAAAAAGAGGTTAACTTTCTCTTCCTTCTCCATAGTATATACCTCATCTTTTACTCTTTAGAGCATTATTGTATCATTCTTTTTCTTTGTCTTGTTGGCTACTTCAGGTTCAGGTTTATCTTCATCATCTGGTTCTGCATCGATGAAGCTACAGAGGAAGAAGGAGAAGGAGGCGAAGAAAATGGAGGAGGAGGAGAAGGAAAGGAAGGAGAAGGAGAAGGAGGAGAAGAAAAAAGAGAAGGAGGAGAAGAAAAAGGACAAGGAGGATAAGAAGAAGGCGAAGGTGAAAAAGGAGAAGAATGAGAAGAAGAACAGAAATCACGAGAAGAAAAAGGACAAGGAGGATAAGAAGAAGGCGAAGGTGAAAAAGGAGAAGAATGAGAAGAAGAACAGAAATCACCATTTTCACTTTTCTGATGTCATGTCAATGCTTGAACAAGAGAATGATTTGTTATACTAAGAGTCTAATTAAGAGTCTAATTATCTGTTGCATTTGTGAGGGAGTCCCTCGTGTCACACGAGTTGATTATTAAAATGATTAAAGACAATCAAGACCTTGTATGCCAAAGATTGTCAATAAATACACACATTTCAACACCCATAAGGTTCATCTCTTCCATCAATTAGAGCTCAATAATTTACTGGTTATCTCTCTCCCTCTCTCAATTTTTTTTTTTTTTTGAAGTAGCTCCTAGTTTCCTCTACTATGTATGTTTGCTTCACAAAATGTTTATTTTTTAAAATTGTTTTTGAAGTATCTATTTATATGTAAATGTGTATTCTTGAATATATTATATTTAACAAATGATTTATATTACACCAAATCACCAATAATAGAGCTATCAACCTCACACAGTAAATATTTACCCATCAGTTGATTGTTCTATTTGTGTCTCTTGGACCATTTTGGTGTTCTTGCTATGTATTTGCATATGCTACAATGTTATCATGGTATTTGTGTTGTATTAATCATAGACCAGTTTAGAAAACACTAGAAAGCTTGAATATACATATATACTTATTTTTTTGGATTATATATGTAAGAAGTAATTTTTGAATTTTGCAATATTTTAGATACGAAATGGCGAGGATGTACCGGAAGTTGGCACTCTGCGGTGGTGAAGGAGGAAAGGAATGGGACGACGATGTATATGAGGGTGTTCAAAAAGTGTATGTAGGGCAAGATCTCAACCGTATCACTTACATCAAATTTGAGTACGTGAAGGAAGACGGCGAAGTAGTAACAACTGAATATGGGACAATAAATCAACACCCTAAAGAGGTTCTCATTTGCAATACTAAAAAATTTTACTGTTGTGAATTCGATAAACGTTGGATTAATCCTTTCAGACATAAACAAGAATAAGCAAGTATTCTTGAGGTGGAACAAGATACAAACTCCAAGAAACCTTTCTAAAATCCAAAATCCGATATTATTAGGACTACGAAATCTTGAGAAGTATTCTAAACCTAATTTTGATTGAATATATGATACTTTTACATACAGTTTGTACTTCAATACCCGGACGAACACATCATAGCAATGGAGGGAAGCTACCACCCAGTGGCTCTCATTGCCACGGAGGTAATTACGTCCCTCGTGTTCAAGACCTCAAAGGGTAGATGCTCTCCAACGTTTGGTCCAAACTTATTTGGAATTACGAGCGGTACAAAGTTTGTTTTTGAGAATGAGGGAAAGAAGATCGTAGGGTTTCATGGACGGGCAGGTGATGCTCTTGACGCACTTGGAGTTTACTTTGTATTGGATTCCACGCCGTTCCCTCTTTACAAGCTGGATGCCCAAGGTGGAACAGACGGGCGTGTTTGGGATGATGGTTCTTATGACGGCCTTAAAACGCTGCGCATTGGTAAAGATAATTCTCGTATCACTTATTTAGAGTCCGAGTACGAGAAAGGTGGGGAATCAAAGACATGTAACCATGGGGTGAAAGGAGATACACCATCCGAGGTAATTTTACTAGTTCTTATACACGACTAGTTCAAGGATTCTCAAAAATGTTATAAATTGTTAAAACTCTATTTATATGTGAAATAGTACAACTAACGACATATATATTTAGCTTTCAAATATAAATGATTAATTAATTATTGTGTTGTAGATTCTTTGCAGCAGTATGAAGTATCTCTCGCACACTCCGGTTCCATTTTTGTAGATATACAGATTTTCGTGTATTTAGATTTCTTAAGACAAAAAGTCTTCTTAACTTTAATTTTCCTTCATGTTGCAGTTTGTGCTTGGTTATCCAGACGAATACATCAAATCGGTGGAAGCAACCTATCAGAAGCCAAACATTTTTAGCAATACCGTCATTACGTCACTTAAGTTTGAGACATCAAAGGGGAGAACGTCATTCTTTGGGTATAATGTGGGTAAGAAGTTTGTGTTGGAGCAAAAGGGTCATAGGCTTGTCGGGTTCCATGGAAAGGAAGATGCAGCTATTGATGCTATTGGAGCATATTTTGGACCTGTTCCTACTCCTACTCCCTTGATTCCATCCAAGAAACTACCAGCGATAGGCGGCAACGAAGGAGTTTCATGGGATGATGGTGTCTACGACGGTGTAAGGAAGATACTTGTAGGACAAGGTAACGATGGTGTATCCTTTGTCAAGTTTGAGTACAGTAAGGGCAAAGAACTTGTATCAGGATATGACCATGGGAAGAAGACATTACTCGGAGCTGAAGAGGTCATCTTTAAAAACAACTCAAGATTGTTTTGTTTCAATTCATTCTCTAGATTATTTTCACTTATCATTGTCAGTTTTGAACCTTTTCAGTTTGTGCTTGAAGATGGTGAATATCTCATAACCATAGATGGCTACTACGATAAGATCTTCGGAGTCGGGGAACCAATAATTGTCTGTCTTCAGTTTAAGACCAACAAAAGGGAGTCAATGCCGTTTGGAATGGATTCTGGTAAGAAGTTCTCGCTTGGAGAGGAGGGCCACAAGATCGTTGGATTCCATGGACAAGCTAGTGATGTAGTTCACAGCATCGGAGTCACTATCGTGCCTATCACCACCACCGAGTGAAAACCTTCTATCATATTAATAAATCCAGCCAGTCATATATATATATACTAAATGAAACTTCCAATAAGAATGGTGTATGTGTTCTGTTTACTATGCTACTTTTAATATGTGGTTGTAGGTTCAAGTAACTTACTGTTTGTGCTAATAATTCCAATAAGATTGGCGTGTGTTTTCTTGTTATTTTACTGGCAAAAAATAAAGATTAATGAACGAATAAACTTTTCCCTTCTCTTCATGCTCCATGCTACACATGCCTATTAATTTCAAAAAATCCTCTGATCAATTTTAGTTATTTTGTTAGTTAGCATAAATGGGGAAAAAAATACTACCATTATTAATTAAAAAGTCACTAATATTTATTAGTCCATATTATTACATTATCAGTTAATCAATAAATTTTACTGATATTTTTCAAAACAAATGAGTAAAAAAAATCCCACAGATTGATGATTATCCTTAAATCCAGAAAAAGGCAAAAATAATTACTTACCAAACAAAGCTAAAAGAAAAAGGCCCACAATAAGATTAATCAAAAGGCCCGCTCCTTCAAAAAGATTTAAAAAGTGAAACGGGACTCAATTTCCCAAAATACCCTTCATTGCTACTCGAATTTACGGAGATTTCTTTTGTCCTCTCGACTTCTCTCTGTTACACTGCCGCCGTAACGCTTCTCCCTTCTTGTAAAAAGCCTCTCCGTTAACGTTTAACTAAACGCCGTCAAAAGACTCTACCTTTTATGATATCGGTTTCGGTTTTTGATTGAGTTTCCCTCCATATCTCCTCGATTTCCGATTTTGAAGAAGAATCTCTCTGTTTATGGTAAAACTCCATCGATTTTTTGTTTTGAATTTCAACTTTTTTTTATTATACTGATTCATTTTTGTATTTTGATTGTTTGTAGTGTCGCTTAAAATTGTCTTCTTTGTTTTCGTCGCCACTGAAACACATGTTCATTGAAAATTTCGATCCTGTTTTATTTTATTTTTTAAGGATTTTTTAGTTGAAAGGTTTTAAGGGTAGTTTAAGTTACGACACACTTCGATGTTTACGGATCTGTCTGAAAATCTCTGACAATTTCTTCATTTTTTATTTTATTAAGACATTTTCTTCATTTGATAGAAACTTGAGGCGATCTTGATCTTGTTTTCTATTTTTAAACCAATATATTTAAATCGTCAAAGCTAAAAATAAAGATGATCTTGAATTGTTCTCATCGAGAAGTGTTTAAGTAAGACTCACTTTAGACTCATTTTTGTTGCAAAGTGTTAAAACTTTTTTTTTTGTTTCATGATTACTGTCTCTAACCAGTGTCCCTTTCTATGCGCTGTTTTGCCTTTTGTTTTTTGAACAAAGAAGAAACCTTTTTCTTATTTTGCTTCTTTATAGTTTTGATTCCAGCTGCAGAATTGTAGTGAACCTTTTCCAGCCTTGTTACCAATGAAGAAGCTTTTCTTTTTCAAATCATCATCTGGTTATGGAACTGATCATAATAAACAGCTTCACAAGCAAAAAGATGATCAGTTTCAACGAAATTTGAATAGTCCAAAGGGTTTTAACAAGTCTCAGAGTGAAGTATCTGGTGCTGCTCTTAGACGAAGCCGTTCTTTGTCCTCTGCAGCTTTTGTCGTTGATGGAACTTCTTCAAATGATGCTACTAGAACCAGCCAACATCATCGACTGCGAAATCATTCGTCGCGGTAATAAATAAACTCTTCTTTCTGTGTCATTCTTCTTCTTGTTGTTGTTGTTGTTGTTATATTAAGTTGTTAATTTTGTATGTTTCATTAGATGTTTTACTCCGGAAAGACAACTTAAAGAATCTGGAAGTATGTCAAATTGTTCTAGTAATGTCTCGAGTCAAGTCTTGGATCGTTACATTGATGGAGAAGAGCATTTAGAACGGAGTAAGCAAAAGAGCGGTTCTTCGAATAGTAGTCTCTCTGGGAGTAGAAGGAGGCTTCCACCGCGAGCTCAATCCCCTTCACCGTTATCAGATAGTGGCAAAGATAAACGGAAATCTAAAGGTTTGAGGGATGAATCGGCTCGTTCACTTGCAAGAAGTGTCATTGAGAGACTCTCTCATAATACTCAGGGCAAGTCAAAGGCGTTGAGTTATGAGCCCATCAGAATACAAGATGTCTGTGGTGGTGGATACAATGGTAAAACTCTTGACTCAAATTCTGATGTTTTGGCTAATGTTGTTGTTCCACTGATTGAAGAATATGAACCAGTGAATGAATATTATGCGGATGACCAAACAGAACAGCACCAACAGTTTTTATTACATGGTAAGGACATGTGTATGGGAACTGATGGTGTTCGTAAGGAAGGTGGTGTTAGTTCGGAGCTAGAAAGAAGATATAAAGAAGCTGAGAAGAGAGTGAAGTTGCTTTCTGAAGAACTGGAGGAAAAGAAGTTTCTTTCAGACTGTGATTTCGATATTTCATCTTTGGTGGGAGATATTAGACAAATGGAAGAAGAGAGGGTAGGCTTGGCTTTTGAAGTTTTAAGTCTTTTGCGGTCACAAATGGATGAGAGGGCTTCTACTAGGGAAGATATCAGACGGGTAAAGAATGATTGGGACTTGCATATAAAGCGACTAGAAAGAGACAAGAGTGAGTTACAAGCTGAGTTGGAGAAAGAGCTTGATAGAAGGTCAAGTGAGTGGACTTTAAAGATCGAGAGTTTCAAGGTTGAGGAGAAGAGGCTGAGGGAACGTGTCAGAGAGCTTGCTGAGCATAATGTCTCACTGCAGAGAGAAATATCGACGTTTCATGAAAAGGAAACTGAGCGTATCGATATGATAAGACATTTGGATGAAGCAGTTGCGGAGTTAAGTGCAACAGCAGAGGAAACGCGCGAAGAAAACTTGTATCTTATGCAAAACCTCTCCAAGTTACAAGAGAGTTACACTGGCAGTACCGATGATCTTGATTGCGTAAGAAGAAACTTTGAAGAGAAAGATATGGAATGCAAGGAGTTACACAAATCTGTTACAAGATTTCTAAGAACTTTCAAAGAACAAGAGAAGACAATCCAGGGACTTAGAGATGGTTTCTCTGAGGAAATTAAGAAGCAACCGATAGAGCATGTGGACAAGAAGCTTCAGATGGAACAAATAAGGTTGATAGGAGTTGAATTGTCACTGAGAAAGGAGGTAGAATCAATGAAGCTCGAATTTGATGCTCTTCGTCGTGAGAATAACTCTCTGCTGAATCGAGTAAAAGGAAATGGAGAAGAAGCTTACATTACGACCTTCAAGCTAGATAATGAGATGAAGATGCGTGTATGCCACTTGCAAGACCAAGGTATATCAATGTTAAATGAGAGTACTCAGCTATGTTACAAGTTTCTGAAAATCATCAAAGAGAAATCAGTGAATAATGGATTGAGTGAGCAGTTTCTGATTGAATCTGAGATGAGAGTTCATGGAATACGGCGTGGAACTGAAAGCCTCAAGAGGAGTTTGCAGACAGTAACAAGTTTATTGCTTGAAAAATCCAATGAGATGATGGCATCAAATTCAGAATCATCTTGCTCAAGTGCTGCTAGGCCTAGCAGCCACTCAGGGGAAGTAAGTTTTTTTTTTTCAAAATCTGTTCATTACATGTTTATCTATTCTGTGTGCTGAATGATTTACCTTTTTATCTACTTTAGAAATCCCTGAGAGCTGAACTGAGAGCAGAAACTCTAGTCACGAGTTTATTAAGAGAGAAACTGTATTCCAAGGAACAAGAAATCGAACAGCTGCAAGCAGAAGTAGCAGCAGGGGTACGGGGTAACGAAGTTCTTCAATGTGAAATTCAAAACGTCTTAGACAACCTATCAGTAAACAACCATCAACTAAAAGACCTCAAGCTGCAGGTATTTCAGACTTTACTTTTTGTTACTCATAACGAATTAAAGCTCCTCGAGTGTGTTCTAATGATTGATTTAACATCAGATGGTGAAGAAGGACGAGAACATAAAACGGCTTGAAATCAATCTCCAAGAAGCTGCTAAAGACTCGGTTACATTACCAAAAGTGTTGGAGGAAAGAGAAGAGATGTGGAAGGAAGTGAAGGAATGCAGAAAGAGAAACATGGATTTGGAGTCAGAGAAGGAGATGTTGAAGAAAAAGGTAGAGAAACTGGAAGAGGACACACTCTTTAAGGAAGGTCAGATCACGATACTAAAAGACACGCTTGGAAGCAGACATTTGGATCTTCTTCTCTCAAGTCCTGAGTTCTCATATAATGATTTCTTAGTCCAATAAGACAACACAATAAACAAATGTATATATAGGTGTCTGTTTCTCGTTCTTGTTTCTATCTTTGTTGCGGTTTGGTGCTTCATTTCCCGGATGAATGAATATAAGAACTCAATCTATCTTATAAGGCGACGACATCCTTCACTTGAACCGGCTTCGTCATTCACTCTGATCGGCACAGATTGTAGACATACGTGGCGATATTATCTGCTTCTAGAGTTCTATAACGGAGGGTCTTTTTCAACGTTGTAGGAGACAATATATAGGTTTGTGACTAGCTATCACTTTCTTTGACGGCTTCCGTCAGTCACCGTGAGAAGATAAAACTAAACGCCAATGTAGCCATGGCTTATGAGATTGATTCATGAGTATGGCTCGGCTCTATCTGCGAGAGCCACGTCTTTTTCTTCCCTAAGCACTTCTCGGGCAGTCCATCGCATGAGGTAGCGGTGAATCCACAGGTGAGTCGGCCGGTTCATGCATGATATATCATCATATCAAACAAAGTTTCCAATGATTGGCCATCCCCATGGGCTTGGAGGAAGCTGACCTTTTTTGGTTTCTTGGATCTCAAGGAACGTATACCGATCGAGAGCCAAGCAAGATCAGCTAGCGCAATGAAAATTAAAGAAAAACAGAACAAGTGTGTGAAACTGAGGTGGATTCGTAAAAACTCGTGTTCATGGGTATACAAAGTTTAGTGTGCATGAATTTTCTATTTGGAGGTGAAAAGAGGTGTTTTAATTTGCTTTTTAAGCTAGTAGTGGGGATCTGATCTTCGAAGAGATATAAACAAACTTACGTGATTTGAAGCACATTAATTTAAGCCTACTGTATCGAATAGAATAATTGATGTGTAGCTAATTACGCAAGAAAGACGTATAATTCCCTACAATTTGATTATAATGTTTGTTTCAGTAATAAATTTGCAAAGATAGATAGATGTAAGGTTAACCTTTGACGGTGCACAACTGTGACA